TGTGTGAGCTGCTACCGGCCACTTGTGGATGCCTAAAAAACAGAATCTGAAAGCTTCCCCTTACGCCTAACGAAATGGAAAATTGATTCTGAGTAACATCACAGATCAAGGAACGCGTTTTTTTAAAAAAAAATTGCTCATACGTACTATATTTGGATACGATACAATCTGTGGAATTTCTGAATACCCCTAGGTCATACAAAAGCATAAAAGACTTCCTAGTTATTCAGGTCTAACATCTTATTGTGATTACACTCGTCTCGACTGGAAGTGAAGTATGAACTGACTCCCATACACCACACCATTGTGTACAAAATATACGTTATGAGACAGAGGTTGCTTTTAGTCTTACAATGACTTAATCAACTTTTCTTATGTGTACGATCCTCAGAAAAATCCCATCCAATGAGGATACCTCACTGTGGTTATTGTGACATGCAACACGAATCACCACTTCAACATAGCAGTTGTCGATACTATATCGAATGACTAATCTCTGTAGGTATATATACATATATATATATGATCTGTCCTGTAATGGACAAACTGCTTGGAAAATCCCTCTTGGACGATCTGTTTATAATATTTTTACTTATATTTAGACAATAATTTTGTAATCAGTAGACGTTTTTCCGCCAGACTGTGTATCATTAAGTTATGTATGTCCAAAAAAAAGAAAAGAAATATCAAACATTACTGAAACTCTCAAGCAAAACAACTACCCAAGGAACTTCATCAACAAAATCAACACAGACATTAAGTAGGGTCGAAAACGCATTCGGAAAACATGGACATCAACAGTCGTCATTCTATACAGAGCAGAGACGTCAAACGATATCAGAAGAGTACTCAATCAGCTCGACATTACAGTTTTCTTCAAAACATCAGACACACTTCAAAACAACCTTGTCCATATAAAAGACCAAATCCCGAAAGATTCTCTATCTAATTGTGTCTATAAAATAAAATGCTTGGAATGTGATGCGATCTACACCAGGCAAACATCTCAAGAAATCAAAATCAGAAGAAATGAACACCGTAGAGCGTCTCTTCGACCACCAAGAAATTCGGTTGAACTAAAAAAAAACCTTGAAAAAGCCTCAGCCATAGGTCTACACGCTATAGAATCAAGTCACAAAATTGATTTTGACAATATTGAAATAATCCAGAAAAACTTCAGAAATCACAAAGAACCTCTAATATCAGAAGCACTTCATATCAAGTGGAATCCAAATTGCCTGAATAGGAATGATGGACTAAAACAGAATCTGACCTGGTTACAACACCTCCCCCTCCCCACCCCATAAAGTGACAAAATCAACACGAATGTGATAAGCAAGTTCAAATCCAACAATCTACACTTGAATTTTTATCTTTACCAATTGACCAAGTTGACAACGAAAAATAACCCCAGACAGACGAACGATGATCAAGTTAGTAAACTTTATTTTGATATCATAACAGACGTACTATTACCTTTGATATTTCGTTTAGTCGCCTTCATTGTTATTTTGACCTTCAATACGTCCTTTTAAATTGAACTAAGTTTATTTTCTCACCCCTAACTCTTTGTTATATATATGCTGAGATTTTGTAAATTCCGCTTTAATAATACTTCGACAAAGCTATTAGCATTGAATAGCGAAACGTTAGTAAAAACGGTAATATCGTTTTTTTTTCATTCATTGGGAAATACAAAAACCTTTATTATACTGTGTATCATTAATTTAACGTTTCTGTGTTACTTCTTGATTTTTGACTTTCATTATTCATTGCCTTTGTCCTTACTTAGTCTTTAGTGGTAATGCTTCTCTTTGTTGTTGTGTATGTACAGTGAAAATGTGTTTTCTTGTTTAACAATATGAGTTTGTTCGAGTGAATGAAGGCCATTCTGCCCTGAGGCTGTCTGCAGGAAATCTAGGAGTGTCATTTTTGTGGATGGAGATTTTAATTCCACCTCTTTGTGAATATTCTCTTCGATTCTAAGGTACGTTTTACAGTTGAACATTAGTCAACTAATTTTGCCTCTCACAATACTTGTTTTATATTTAGAAACCTTGATTGCCTGTACAGCGCTAGCTGCCTCATGAAACTGTTGAGGCGAATTTGAGTTTTCATGTTGTTATGTATTGTTGTTTAATAGAACCGCCAAAATATTGGTGAACAATCGTCTTTTCACTGTGTTAGGACGTTTCGCCATAGTGTTTGTTTCAACGAAGTTGTGTTGCCTATACTGCAGAACGCAGAGATCGGTTTCTTGTGTTCAGACTATAACTAAATGAATTTAATCATTTAGATATGATGATAGAGAAGATTTGTAGCTCAGGTGGATCATTTTGATGTGGTTGTGCTCTCTGAGCTGGATAGTTAATTTGCGAAGCTTTCATCGCCCTACTTCAATTAGAAGTGAGCTTTTAGATTTCCTCAGTCTAACATTAGACAGAGGAAACAACAAGAACGCTAGAGAATTTTTAGAAGCTTGGCCTGGTATTCCAGTGAATCATCAATCAATAGACACATCGAGATAGACAAAATTTATCAACCGATAAGAAAGAAACTTCACACACAAAGGGTCAAAGTTCAAGTCAAAGAAACAATCAGTTCCTATACAAGTAACCCAAAAGGTGTGAAAACACACAAAAACAACCAATCACGTCCAGGGTCACCCACCATGAGAGATGATTAATAAACTCGTAGAGAAATCTAAAAGCTCACTTCAAATTGAAGTGTGCGCTGAAGATGTCGCCTAGTAGTAGACCGATGAAAGTTTCGCAAATTAACTATCCAGCTCAGAGAACACAACCACATCAATTAAATCATTACAGATATAACATTGGCACAGTTAATTTTGTCCGCAAGTTCTATATTTCGTGAAGACTAAAAATCCCTATTTCCTTCACTTGTGCTTCGTCTAGTAATATGGAAAACTGGAGCATTAGCGACCAAGAAATTCTGTCTCTGTATCTAAATTTGTTATATACAAGAAGGCCACTGCTGTTAATATTCCATAACATTGCTAAATTTTGAAATGACTGGCATTAATAATAATGCGGCAACCACACCTCGATGCGGGAAGGCGATAAGTACTTCGACTCAGCACCGAATACGAACAGCTACTGCCAGTTACTCCTCACCACCACCGCCCCATGAACTCGAGATACTATGCTATTGAAGATAAACGATAGACTGGTCCGAGTAGGTGCTTCCAATCGACTGTTATTACACATAAATACACTACATATAAATATTATCAATCATGGAAAGTTAAACCGATAAATAGTAGGCTGGTTGCATAATTTTCGGTGTCGAATTAGTCAAATTTTATTGTAATAAATATTTCCCTCCAACCAACAGTTTTGATGTTATAATTGTTTAGTAGAACCGCTAAAATATTGGAGAACGACTGTCTTTTCTCTGTGTTAGGACATTTTGATTTTTGTGAATATTTCAACAATGTTTTGTCCACTATACAGTGGAACTTGGAGGTCAGTTTCTTACTTTCAGACCGCACATAACCGAATAAATGTGGTCGTTACATGTACAAATGATTCCGTATAACCTTGACTCACATTCTGGTTTGAGTTCTGGGTGGTATTACTTATTATTTATCTATTTAAACGCAGAAAAAACTTGGTACAATATGGTACCAAGATGGATGCGCCACACAATAATAATAAAACAACATACATCAAAAGAGAAAAAGAAGAAAAAGAAAAAAATATAAGCAGAGAACGGATAAAGAACTTCATCTGGAAGGAAGACAGTCATGCTTAACAAGTTCAAACAGTATTCGTTAACAATCATCGGGAAGGGAAGAAAGAAGGAAATTGCAACACGTTCGCCACTGATTACGATGCTTGGCCATATCCGATAAAGTTTCGAGCTATCTCGCGGACCTTAACCACGGAGTCGAGACACACCAACCAATGCTAATATGGCACAAAAATCCATCATCCCACGACGCCACGTCATGGACTGACTACCTCTCCACCTTTTCCATCCCGTCCCAGGGCTGGCTAGCGAACAGAGACCTGTACGGAAGCCTCTGGGATGGCATTCACAGCATATGTCCAAGCCACCAGAGCCGGTGTTTCCAAATGACGACACTCAATGAATGGCGATCTCCACTGTGTTCAAACACACACACACCGCCGAACCTCAGAATTACTCACGCTATGATGCCATCAAACGCAAGCAATCCTACGGAGACAGCGATGATCGAACACGCACTCGGTTTCAGGATATCTGTGTTAGATATAACATTGGGGACAACCATTTTGAGGATTACTCACTAACATCTCGAAACGACACAGATAGGCTGGGAATCTAGACAAAGGCGAAAGGCTGTGAAAGGTTAAGAAGTCAAGTTTAGGAAAGGTAAAATACAGGAATCTGTGTATCAAAAAAATAATAGGTAGGGTAGGAAGGACACAAGTTACTTGAGGCATCAATATTACTTGAAATCATTGTTAATGACGCACGATGAGTTTCGATAAGAGTTTGTTGCTTTGGTTCATTTATTGTGTGAGGGCTGAGATACTTCCCGGGCGCCCAGACCGAAGCAGGTGGTTTTATTAAGGGACCCCCCCTCCCTCGAGCCTTTGACATGGAGTCTAGTCCGAAAGGCAGCGGAGCAGCGTCAGGAGCTGAATTCCCATGGTTTCCGGTGACCCATATGGGTTCATACGCCATTTGATCCAATTGGATTCTGGGGCCCACGTACCCCATGGTAACTGCTTTTAGTCTAACCGCTATCCGAACAACCTTCCTGACATGGTAGGACCTGCAGGGACATGATTCCCAGCCAGTTTAGCTTGTTGGGTCACTGCAGTATTCAAGCTCAACCACCACGACAAGGTAGCAGTTGCCGGCTGGGTCTGGGTAGTAGCTGGCGATAAGTTCTATTCACACCCCTTTTTCTTCTGTTAAAGATCAAAATTGTACCAAGTATTACTAATCAGAAAGGAATAAACCAAAAATGCGCTTCAGATATTACTCACTTTTAAGGCTTTAATTCGTCTTTTTCTTTCTTCTTCTAAATAAGCTGATGCATATGGACCTAAAAGACGGGCGACTTCAGCTGAATTCCGCTGTAACAGTGGTACTTCTCTATGCATCATTGCAGTTTTAATATTCCAACGGAGAACACGTCGGGCGTTTTCACCAGGTGTTGAATGTATTAACCAACTACGTTGATAGGCATGATATCGAGCTACAGGATCTTGTCGTCGACGTGTAACAACACTAGATGATCCAGATCGCTAGTAAAAAGAAAAACAGATGAAACAATTCAAGGTATATGTGGATTGAATTATATATAGTCTATATTCTCTTCCATATTTATAAACCCCCTACAACAGCATATCGTTTTATTTGTTGAGGTGAATATGCGGTAAGTTGGCTTAGGCGATCGGTTACCGACAAAATGTATCAAAGTTTCGAATTCTGTTTACTTTATCTTGGGCAAGTGGATAGTACCAACAACGGGTACATATTTAAAAATGTTTCACAGACCAGTGCACAAGAAGTCTGTTTCGAGTAAGTGAGTTCTAATTATCTAATTAGTACGGTTTCAAGTGTTGTTTTGCAGGGATGTGATTGGTTACAGATTTGATCAGGAGCTCACAGCAGTCGGAAAACCATTGGGAAACCAGGAGACTACTAGACAGCTATTTCATCCTAGTGCTCGGGACTCTTCATCAGTAAGCATCCACCGGGGTTCGAACCCAGGACCTGTCATTTACAAGGTGGGCTGGTAAACTAGCCAGCCACTGGGACCCAAACCCGACCAAATGGCTCACGAATTTTAACTTCCGCCGATTCGCGACATATAGCGCCGCCCACCCACCCACCCCCGCCTAGTCAACGTCACCGGAGAGTAACCTGAACTGAGGGAAACAGCTGAAACACATAATCGAAAATTCAGCTGTCAATGAATTAGGGAAAGATTCTGAGAAGTCTTGATTTGCGTCCACCTGCAAGTAGTCATCAGAGCAGTTCACCCATCATCACAAAGAAATCAACACTACTTTACTTTTCAATGATTCTACCACCACAGACTGTACAAACCAGAGCAAAATAATAATCGAAATTACCTAAGATCCGAATATTTTCAAGAATAAAATGAGCATTTCACTATAATGGTTACCTGAAATATTCATAGTTTTATTATAACTTGGCTGTTTAGTCAAGAAAATGATAAAGCAATAAGACAATAAAACACGTACACAGTGACAAAAAATGCCACTCAGTCACTACAACTGTACTGAACTGAATGTTTAACGTGTAACTTTGCACAAAAAGGTGTACGAATTGGTTGTTGAAACGAGATTTACGATTATCAACTAACATAGGAATTCAACTTTACTTCAATTCGCTGAATTTAATTAACTCTATGCAGCAACACTTAAACCAAACGTGTGTATACAGAAAGAAAGTGTAATCAATTTTAGTTTAAAGTGGAAGCAACTTTTTAACGTTATTACGTGATTATGTATTCTGTTTGTTGTTTTTTTCAATTTTTCTTATAATACTTTCATTGTTATTACAATTATGATCTTTTTCTAACCCCCCCCCCCAGTATTAATTCAATCGATTTCAAACTCACGTAGTCGTGTAAGGGCTTATGGGGAATTGTCATCTGAATTGGTAACAACCAGTGGTGTCCGACAGGGATGTCCACTCTCCCCATTTCTGTTTAACTTCATCATAGATATGCTAATCGAAGTATCCTTAACTGAACGTAACGACTTACGAATCGACTTGTTACCAGGGAATAGTCTTATGGACTTAGAATATGTATATGACATAGTTCTGTTAGGGGAGGATGATGACAAAATGCAGAATCTTCTGAACACCTTGAGCAGCAATATTCGTATGTTTGGAATGCGATTCGCCCCTGTAAAATGTAAGATGCTGGCTGCTACAGGACTGGACTACGTCATCTCCTAGCTTAGTGATAGGGAGTGAAGTGATAGAACATGTTGACCACTTCACCTATTTGGGAAGTTGTTTCACAGCAACAACGGACTGATTGGCGACGAAATCTCAACACGGATCCGAAAAGCTCGAGCTGCTTTCGCAGACTTACACCATCTCTGGCGTAGGCGTGACATCCGGCTGGCTATCAACCAAGGGACGTGTGTACTGCTCAGCTGCAGTTCGCTCCGTCCTTCTCTATGGCTCTGAAACATGGCCAATACGCGTTGGAGACATGAAAAGGTTGACTGCTTTCGATCATAGATGCCTGCGATCTCTTTCTCACCTTAGGTGGTGGTATAATAAGGTAAGTAATGTTGACGTTAGGCGTATAGTGTTGGGCAAAGAGGGAAAATCAATCGACGAGGCTATAAAGTTACATAGATGGCATAGAGATGGCTAGGTGACGTGGTGCGCATGCCTAACCATCGCCTCCCCCCACCGACGGGCATTACTAGGTGATATAGGTTCAGGTTGGAAAAGAGTAAGTGGTGGTGGTGGCCAAAGAAAAGCATAACGGCGTCAATCCATGAAATCCTTGACAGTTAAACTGAGTCTTCAGGTAGGGAGGGAGATGCAGACTTCCGGGTTGGGGCCCTCGGGACTGACTCTAGGAATCAATGGCAATGGCTGGAGACAATAGGTGACATGGCTCAAAATCGTTGTCAATGGCCAGTGAAGATTTATTCAGTCTCTGTAATCTTTCATATTCCTTTCTACCATTACCCATTCTGTTTCACTCTTATGCTTGTCAAACTCTATTGATTCTCTCCACTCATCTTCTTGTCTACCTTTGTGTGGTATTTGGAACGTGGCAACTCGAAGTTCTGCAATTCGGTTCCAAGTTCTATGTTGAATCCAGACAGACAGAGAATCGATTTCAGATCACTTCTAAATATCTGACTGACTGGTTTCAGCATTGAACCACTTTGCACAGATGTGTGTACCAGTTCAACTTGCCACTCATCCTCCGCGTAAGACACAAAAGAAAGAGTGAGAAGTAATAAACATACGTATGAGTAAGGGTAAAAAATAGTAATATGTAAGAACAATAGAGTTTTATAGGATATGACAAATTGTCACAAAGAGTGAATGCATCTCTGCATCAGTCATTGACAACGATGATTTTGAGCCATATCATCAATCATCTGCAAACTCTCATTGGTTCTTTCTATCCCGCAGACCCCAACAAGCAAGACTGGCAGTCTACACCTCTCTCTATGTGATTGACTGGCAAGCTGGCTTAAACTAACTGTCAATGATTTCCATGGACTGATTTCAACTTTTGATTTGACCACCACTAGCTGTTTTCCGACCTCATCGCGCTTCTATGTCAGCTAACATTGCCCGTCGAGGAGGGAGATAGCTTTGCAGCTATGTGTAACACATATCCCAACCACCTCAATCGATGCAAATACACAACGTCATCGATTGACTTTACCCTCCATCCTTACCTACCATTCAACTGAAGTCTAACCTCAATAACTCTAGTAAACCTACCACCAAACACGAAAGATAGGACGCAGACTGTGATGATCAAAGACAACTAACAAGGTTTTCCATGTCTTCAACTTCCAATAGCCATATCTCACACACAGCAATAAAAGGGGGACAGAAGGAACTGTTAAGCAGTACACACTCGGATGCCACGTTTATCGAGCCAGAGGTGGCGTAAGTTAGCAAGTACCAAACGAGTCTTCCCTATCAGTGCTGTTCTAAGCATTTAGTTATATAATATTGCGTAATCCTGTTTCCACTACGTTGCTGGTTAATTAATGTTTTTGCTGTTGAGTTACCTACCAAGACTTCCCGAACACTGTTCCAAGCTTATGCTAAGTGCCTGCTTTCTTTTCGTGTTATTTGTCATAACTAATTATGCCATGATATTTAACTCGTTGCTGTTTTTTTTTCTAAACAACGTTCCGTATGCCAAATTTCTGCTGAGAAGAATTTCTTTATTCCTTTACGTTCCCCAGTGGACCATAGGGCTTCAAGATACAGACTTGAAGTTCCTGAAGCAGTGGTGATTATTTTTACAGGATGGGGTTGCTAGCCTCATGCCCAACCTTTCCTTCTTACCAGTCTTATGACTGGCTTAGTGAGGTAAAGGAGTGCGTTGGCGGCCAGGGATCGAAGCCCGGATCACAGCCATGGTCGGCGAACACTCTACTGTTGTGCTGCCGACGCACAACTGAATAGAATACAAGGTGTAAATTTTTATTTCGTTTATTACAAAAGTTTTAAAGGTAGAAACGATGCCTACTGATTGGGTCAAAAGGTAAGTTGTCTTGTAAAACTACCAAAGAAGGAAGACATAATTAGGACCCTGCAAAAACTGGTGCAGAATTAGGCTCTTGTCCACCCATATCGATATAATAAGTCCTCCTAGAGAGACTAAAAGACGCACTGGATACAGATTTCCGCCACCCACCGACCAGAACAAAAGCTGTATTCAGGAAAGGCGTATCATGTGCTGGTCGATTCGCAATTCTAAGCATTATCATAGAATAGAGCATAGAATGGCAGTTAGATCTTGACCTCAATCGGCTCCACCGACTTTGAAAAGGCATTGACCACGAAGTAATTTGGAAATTACTTCAATATGATGAAATGTTTAAAATCTTTATCAAACTCATTCAACAACTATATAGCAACGACACATATCAAGTGACCCACTAAGGAAAACTCACAGAAGTCTCTGAAGTGAATACAGCAGTGATACAAAGCTGAATACAGTCACCGATGAAATACCTACTTGTGGTCGACTAGATTATGCAGAACACCGTAAGTGTGTGGTGGACGACAGGAATACGTTAAACCGATAAGAAGACTATAGAAGAGCTGGATGTTGCGGATGATTTATGTCTAATATCATACAAACTCGAAGATTAACAGGTAAAAATCAACAAGTTGAAAGAAAAAGTAGTATAGACAGGACTTTAGGTGAACATACAGATGGCAGAGGTGATGGAAGTAACCAACAAACAACAACAACAAGCACGAATCACTATCAACGGGAGGAATTTGAGCGGTCGCTTAATTCACTGATCTAGGCAGCATCATCTCAAATACAGGCAAGTCACAAGGATGAAGTTGTCAAATGTAGAATGGGAAGTGTAAGACCGACGTTTCTCATTCTGAAATCAGTTTGGAAATCCTTCAGCACTGCACTGCACTCAGTACAAACAACAAAATTCGAATTTTCAACACCAATGTTAAGCCAATCATTTCTTCTATTTGGGGTGGGAAAATTAGCGAAGGCGTCATTAAAAGCATTTCAAAAAGCCTGCTGCATACTCTTATCAACAGCTGTCACCTTCACTGAATTCATACTGAAGATCAGATAGCTGGCCAGAAAGAATTAACGGCAAGAAAATTTCAGAAAGAAACAATCAAGAACCTATTTTGCTCAACAATTGAAGATAGATCGGACGTATTCTGAGAAGACCGTTACGTGACATTGCGTGTCAGGCCAGCACTAGAGTGGAACCGGATTGGGAGAAGACGAATGGATCGTCCGAAGGCGACATAGACGACGACGTGGAGGAAGATGAAAGACTGTCTATCTGTTTTCAACATAGAACTTTGCACCGATATGCAGCAGTTCAAGTTGCCACACAAAGCAAGAGAAGAAAGCAAAAAGAAATGCAAAATAGAGAAGGTAAACAGGGGTATAAGACAAAAGGAATAGTAATGACGAAGAACAATAAACTTTCATTGGAAATTATAAGTCAAAAGGAGAGGATCCATCTGCGCCAGCCATTGAGAACGATTTTGAACCATATCACCAATCGTCTCCAGCCATTGGTTTTCACTATCCTGATGACCCGAACTAACTGTTGTGGATTTCATTGACTAGTGTCATGTTTTAGTTTGACCACTACTGGCTTTTTTCCAACCTGACCCTATGTCAGCTACCATCTACTATCAACTGAGGAAGGCAATGGCTAGGATGCATGCCTAACATATGCCCTAACCATCTCACCCAATCGATTTAACTTCACAACCTCATCGATTGATTTCCCCTCCTTATCTACCACTCGATGCCGAACCCCAGTATTGATTACCCTACTTTACACAGGAGATAGAAGGCAGGCACTTATGATCAAAGATACCTAACCTTTTCATGTCCCCCACCATCAATGGCCATGTCTCACAGCCAGAAAGGAAGATCGAGTGGACTACTGAACAGTACAGACGTCCTTTAGTCGATAGCCGGATATCAGAGTATGATAGGACTATTGAAGATTTCAGAGAACAGGACAAAGTGGAGATGTCCTGTTGAAGCCCTATGTTCAACTCGGAACCCAAGAGAACAATAAAAATTAAATTTTTTATTGCATATTCTGAATTGTCTGTAGTTGAAGAGAAGCCTAAAAATAGAATATGCACATATTATGCTGCAAATTGTGTTCTACTTGCTTTGTTGCAAATTCATATCGCCATATCACCAACAGTCTCCAGTCACTGAATCTTAGTGTTTCCAGAACCACCCTACCCCCCTCCCACACACACACACTCTACACTTTCCTCTATATGGCTCAAAAGCAACAGAGTTAAAGTATTTATGGATAAAATCAGATTTCAAGGCCGATAACAAAACGAACTTACTTGTGAAATTTGACCATTTGCTGATTGAGCATCATAAAAGTTTTGATGTAAACTATTTGACTTTTGATAGACTGACTGTAGACATGATGATTTAGGTCGTTGTGGTAAACTATGCACTTGATCAACAGGATCATCTAAAAATCGTGCTGATCTTCTTGATGCAGCAGCAGCAGCAGATGAAATATTTCGTTTTGTTGTTGGCAAAGAACTACTCATTAAAGGATCAATTTTCCTTGAGGTTAATTTATTCCTTGTGTTTGTTGTTGTTGTCGACGGTGAAATGTTATCATCATTATCGTCATCAACAACAGCCCTGGGAACTTTCAGATCACCATTATCATCATCAATATCATCAACACCTTCACCACGAGTTAATAAATTAAAATTAGATGGCTTTGTAGTACGCGCATTGATAACAGGTACATATTGTCCATGAGGTGTTGATGTAAACTTCGACTGTAGCTCTTGACGAAGTTGATGATTATGATTGGGATTTTGTGATTGTTGATAACGTTGATAGAATGTTTTCAGCTTAGCATAGGGATCTTTAGATGTTTGTGTTGATGATGGATGAGATTTTTTATTGGTCAAGGGGGTTGCAGCTGTTGGTGTTGTTGTTGATTTAACGAATACTGGTGCAAGTAACACCTCATGACTTGGATCGTGTTTAATTCCACGACTTTGTTCAAGTATATAATTCTATGAAATTTTAATATACAAATAGACTAACATTAGCAAATTATTTATATAAATAAATTATACAAACTAAACCACCTTCCACTGATAATCTGACTGTCTATCTGTCTGTTTTCAATATAGAACTTTGCACCGACAGGCGGAAGTTCCAGTTGCCACACTCCATGTAGCACACAAAGCAGCAGAAGAGTGTGAAGAAAGATTCAAAACAGAAATAATAAACAGTAATATGAGTCCAAAAAATAGTAATATGGAAGAACAACATAGCCCTATTGATTATTATAAGTCACAAGGAGTAGATGTATCTGGGCCATCATTGAGAAAGATTACGAGCCATATAATCAATTGTCTGCAGCCTCCATTGGTGTTTACCGTCCCGAGGAACCCAACCAGACAGAAGTCTACACATTACTACGTGGCCTAAACGAACTTTTGTGGATTTCATTGACTGATGAAGTCATGTTCGTTTTGGTTTGACCACCATTGGCTCTTTTCTAACCTGATCCAGGCTATGTCAGCTAACATCTCCCATCGGTCGAGGAAGGCGATAACTAGAAATGCATACGTAACATAAGTCCTCCACTGATAATCAGATTTAGTCCACTGAAATATCTCCCAAGTAGGTGATGAAGGGCTCTACAGTACACCTACAGCGTATGCTACTGACGAAACTTAATAAGTAGTATATAGATACAGATCCAAATATGCATATCAATCCGCGAAAACATGGTTTTATTGACGAACAAAAGAAATGTTTGAATGATGCTTGTGAAAAAAACATGGAAAACATGAAAGGAAGACAAAGAAGGACAATACAGAGATAGCGAAATATCGAAGATGTGCAAAGCGTGATTCTAATATACAGGAGACGTATTTTGTCTATATCTGGTATATCGAGTTGCCAATAAGTAATTTCACTGTCGAATGCTCTACTAAGCCACAGCATCCTGGAGAGAATCAAACAAGCCACCCTGGATGAAAAAATTTGACCGGAACAAGCTGGATTCAGGAGAAACAAGTCATTCATCGATCAAATCGCCACTCTACGGATCATCATTGAACAAAGCTTGGAATGGCAGTCAACTCTCGACTTCATTCAACTTCATCGACTTTGAAAAGGCCTTCTACAGCGTCGATCGAGAGGCGATTTGGCAACTACTTCGCTACTATGGGGTGCCATCGACAATTATACATCTCATCCAACAGTTGTATGACAATGCTCCATGCCAAGTAATCCACAACGGGAAACTTACGGAAGCCTTCGAAGTGAGGACGGGAGTGAGACAAGCTGGCTGCCTACTATCGCCAATGATCTTCCTGATTGCAGCAGATTGGATAATGCGACAGACAACCGGCAATGAGGAAACAGGCATAAAATGGACTCACACAAAAACTTGGAGGATCTGGACTTCGCCGATGACATATATATGCCTGATTTCCTACAAACTGGAAAATATGCAAGTGAAAAGCAACAAGTTGGCGGAAGAAGCATCAAAGATAGGACTTCAAGTGAACATAGATAAAACAGAGGTGATGAAGATTCCTGGCCAACAGCAACAGCAGCAACAACAACAATAGACAACAATCAGCCATCATAAATGGGAGAAACCTGAAAGAAACAACCTCCTTTACCTACCTACCTGCGAAGTATCATTTCAACTACAGGCGGAACTGACGAGGATATCAAAGCACTGATGATCGGGAAAGCAAGACAAGCTTTCATTACCCTTAAGTCTGTGTGGAGGTCAACAGCACTCAGCATGAAAATGAAAATAAGATCCGGATTTCCAACTCCAATGTGAAGTCAGTCAGTGCTGCTATACGGATCAGACTTGGCGCGTCATAAAGAGCATCTCAAACAAACTTCAGACCTTCATTAACAGTTGTCTTCGCTCAATACCACTCAAGACCAGATGGCCAGAAAAGATCAGCAATAGTGAGGGATATCTGACAATGAGCGAACCGACTCAGCAGGGACCGGTTGTGAAACAAATAGGCAGGAAGAAATGAAGATGGATTGGCTGGCCATACTTTGAGGAAACCATCAAGGGACATCACTAGACAAGCCATTGCTCGAGTGGAACCCGATTGGAAGGGAAGCGGCGAGTTGGTCGTCAGTGCAAAAGTCACTTGGAGGAGGTCATGTGAGGAGGAGATGAAAGCATGTGGGCAGACGTGGAGCGAGGTGAAAAAGTTGGAAGAAAACCAAAGGCAATAGAGATGCGCAGCTGGAGCCCTATGTTCCTCTAGGAATTAAAGGATGTGATAATAATAATTGTCAAATACTCATGTATTCTAACGTTAGAACAGTACTTTTCAGTAAAGGCAACTCTTTGCTGTCAGATGATGCTATGTAAGAAGTCAATAGTAAATAGAAACAGTTTTATCAAAAAGACTGGTACGGTTCTACTGCTGAAATTGTGTCAAGAGATACTGAGGAATGCAACACGTAGAATTTAGCACGCATTAACAGAAAAGACATTATATAATGAAGTGTTCGTCTGTAGAGATTTGATTAGTTACAGGTTCGATCATGAGCTGATATCACTTATGGAATCATTGGAAAAGCAGGGAGTACTGGATAATTGAACGGTCTATGGCTCTTTCTTCCTTCGAACCTTAGTGGGTGTGTATCTCTGGAGAGTCTCAAACTAGGAAGAAACCGCGCTGTCCAGTACTCCCTGGTTTTCCGACTGGTTTTACCAACTGATATCAACTCATGGTGAAAGCTGTCAACCGTTAAATTCTTGTAAATCAACACCTGTAACGTAGTTCTTTGTACTCTAGCACTAGTCAAGACTCTGTACTATAGAGCGAGGAGAATATGCTCTGCAGGCAAACTAGAGGAAGAATTTTCGAATCTCGAAAACATGCTGAAAAACAACGGTTATCCTCAAAGATTCATTAACAAATATGGAAGATGTGAAGGCTCGAATACCAAACAAATCACAGTTGACAAAAAGCCTATCTTCATTCAACTAGATTTTAAAGGTGAAGACATTGCAGAAATGGTCTACAGAATACTGAGAACATCACTAGCCAGAGCCTATCCTGCAGCTAAGTTGGTTCCCGTCCATCGAACAACATGCTCTTTGGTGCAGTCAAAAGTCGATAGATATCCTTCTCATGTTAACTCCAACTGTGTATACAAATTTACGTGTATCTGCGGGAGCAGTTACATTGGGAGAACTGAAAGAAAGGAACACATCCGACTTTCTGAACATGTGCCGAAAAGCCTACATCTCAAGGGAACAAACTCTTATAGCAGCGCTATCACCAGACATCTCCTCGACACGGGTCATGAGGTGGAAATCGAGAAATCCTTCAAAATTATGAATAGACAAAGGAGCTCCATTCTCCTCAAGTTAACCGAAGCAATTTCTATCAAACGCTTGAAACCAGATTTATGTGTTCAGAAAGAAGCTGTTATTAGTCTTTCCTTGCCCTGGTAACTAGATTTCTTTATTATTTCTTCCGTTTGATTACGTAATCTTTGTCTTTAACCCCACCCCTTTTGATATAGCGTAATTTGGCTTGTCTCTTGTTTCTATGATTTGAGTTCACCTCAGTACATCGTTACCTAATTTATTAGTCACTCTGCATCTAAAGCATATTTCATCTTTATTACGTAACTCCTTTACCATTGTATGCATACATTTATTTTGTTTAAACTTGAACTGCCTGTGTAAAAACAATATAAGCTCAATTTTCTGAGCACTGTTTACTAATTGTGGAAATTTCTGTCAACTGACGACAACATGTGAAATTTGCAAGTATGTTAAAACGTTTCTGTACGTAAATCTCAAAATTTATTTAGGCTGTAAGCAGCAGCTGATGAGAGGCCAACGAAATCAATGATGGTACCATGTTACTCTGCACAAACCACCACTGTTGTTCTTTCTTTATTCAAATTCATCAAGGGGAATAAATGCATGAACCTCATAAATGAAAATAATATTATCACATAAAAAGATAATTGCAACGAAGAAAATTTTCTTTTCGACGAAGTCATCATCTAGGCTGTACATTCGTGTATTCATAATAAATGGATGGGAAAGTTCCAGAATAATTTCCAGTTAAGGATCAAATTAATAAAAATTAAAATTAGGAATTAGAATGTCATAATAAACAGGGGGGTGGATAAAACAAACAAAGTAGCATCATAATAACTAAGAAGATTGACATCGATTGTGCGATTAAGGGTTAGAAATGTAGAAATAACAACGATATACAGGATGTTTGGATAAAAAAACTAATGTGATGAATAATTGTTTATGCAATCAGGGATTAAATATGTAGAAATACTAAAGTCACAAAATAGACAGGAAGTTCAGAAATGAAAATATGGTAGTGTAAACAGAGATTAAGAAAAACTTAAAATAATATGAATAAACAGGAAGTTTAGATGAGAAAGGCGATGGGATGGTCATTACTAAAAGAGTTACCTGTTTATGATGGCCATGGCAGGGACAGAGGTTGGACGTATTTCTTTTGGATACAAAGCGTGGGTTTGAGCTTTTGGATAGCTAGTGCCTCGGCTATGCCCAGATGTCTTGATTTCACTCCCTTTGATTGAATCTTGTATATTACTTTGAAGGATTTTTTGAAAGGTGCTGAATGTCCTGAATTGACCAGATGTTCTGGCACTGAACTATATACACGCTTTTGGTCTCCTTTTACTAACCAGGCTGGATAGTGTTCACGAGCGCGTTTTTCAAGTCGGCGCATGGTGCGACCGATGTACTTAGCTCCATAAGAGCAAGTAAACTGGTATATGCACGTTGAGGTGGCCCAATGCGACAGCTTGTCTTTCGCGTTCTGGCTGAACAGTTTCTTGCAGGAAAACGTCAGTCGTAGGCTCGTGGCGAAGTATGTTTTCCTCAGCGATTTGGAGAGGCGTTTACAAATCATTTCTGCTTCAATATCACCTTTGAATTCTAGATTAAGCAGAAGTATTTTCTTTGGAACGGATTAGACTTGTTCGGGAGTCTTCTTAGATTTGAGATTCATGTCTATGAACCTTGACGGGAAACCATTTTCCATCAGAGTTTTTCGGAGATTACACCGGTCTTCTTCAATCACTTCCTCGCTACATATCTTCCGAATCCTCGAGGAAACAGCGTATAACAGGTTCCTCTTTCTGCTTAGGGGTACGAAAGCTCTGAAAGTTGATGAATTATCCATTCGATGTAGAAGTACGTCGAACCCCTGTTCCTGCTATGGTCATCATAAACAGGTAACTCTTTTAGTAATGACAAGCCTATCGTCTTTCTTATCTAAACCTCCTGTTTATTCATGTTATTTCCTGTTTACACTACCATATTTTCATATACGAATTTTCTGTTTATTTTGTCATTTTACAATTCCTACATTTCTAACCCCCCCCCAATTGCACAATCGATGTCAATCTTCTCAGTAATTATGATGCTACTTTGCTTGAGTTTTATCCGTCTCACCGCCCTGTTTATTATGGCATTCTAATTCCTAATTGTAATTTTATTAATTTGACCCTTGACCAGAAATTATTCTGGAACTTTCCTACCCATTTATTCTAAATACGCAAATGTACAGCCCTGTCTAGTTGACAATTTCGTCGAAAAGAAAATTTTCTTCACTACAACTGTCTTTTTTATTATTAAAATGTGTATATTCCATGATTATCACATAAACTTACTTCAATAGCACCTGAATACTGATCACAGTTTTCTGTATTAGGCAAAATATTTCGATGGATTGTTTCCGTGGTTGCTATCATCGCTGCTTCGTTGGAATCTTCATCTTCTCCGCCTTCATGTGATGATTGTATAGGCTGTTTAACAGACTTCTTACATATATTATCACCCGTATACCAACAATGAACAGCTGAATTCAGTCTGTCAGGAGGAGGAGAAGGATTCCTCAGCGTGGAATATTTATCTTGAATTGATGTTGATGTTGACTGAGGCAGATCAGAATACGATTGACTACTCCAACATGATGGCGGCGCTACAGTCATACTACTTGTTTGTTGAGATGAGCTTACCGATAGAGGATTATGAACTGTAAGAGAGAGAGAGAGACAACAGAAAGTAATAATAATAATGAATCTTTCAGGTTTTCTTTTTGTTCCATAAAGTATACTTATAATCCGGATGAAATGTTTACACACTATGCTTAGATATCAGGTGGTTTGATATTTAGACTTTAATTCATCTCACACGTTATCTACCTATGAGGGCTGGCTCATTTAAGTGTCTAAGAAACCGAAGTCGGCTCTTCCTATCATTGTGAAGCAGAATTCACCGAGCGTTGGATTGTTCACCCACTAAAAGGGAACGTGAGCTGGGTTTAGACCGTCGTGAGACAGGTTAGTTTTAACCTACTAATGAGTAGTACAGTAATCAGTGAAGTACAATCTGGTCGTTGCTATGGTAATCGTGTTCAGTACGAGAGGAACCGCAGGTTCAGACAATTAGTATATGTGCCTGGTCGAAAGGCCAATGGTGCGAAGCTAACATCTGAGAGATTAAGACTAAACGCCTCTAAGTCTGAATCCCGTCCATATTTGCAACGGTACATTTCGTATCCGACACGTAGCTGGGTAAGTTTACGTATTCCTTTTGGTGTCTGGACTGGCCCATGTGTTCGGCTAGGCCCATTAGGTCTGGTGTAACGCCAGAGCGATGACCATAAACTATGCTCTGGATTTCGGGGTGAAGGTTTCGACACGATATCTAATTGTAGTATGAGCGTGAGAATACTAAATCGTTTGTCGGGGAGAGGTAAGTGCTCCAGCAGCTATCACACTGCGAGGCATTGAGTCCTATCCCTGATTAACATAATGACGTGCGTCGGTGACACAGCGGTTAGGACACTCGCCGACCATGCACATGGTCCGAGGTTCGATCCCCTGCCGACACACACTTGATATCTATGGTCGGCCTACAAAATTTGGGCTACCGATATCACATGCTGAGAATTCCATACTTGTACCAAAAGTACCGTGTGGTTTCAAGCTATAATCAAAATCAAAGAAAAGACCTAAATGATGAAATAAAACAAGAAAGAAGAAGCGTTGATATCGAATAACTATTCTATAAAATTCATTAGGAAGACCAGGAACGGCCAAAAGCAAAATAAAAATAATGGGAAAACTAATAATGAAAACATAAATAAGAAAGAATATACGGCATCTACAGTAGTAGTTTTACCATATAAGGAGGGGAAATCTGAGACCCTCCCTACATAGGGTTCTTAATAAAGCAGGAATTAGGCTGGTGGCATTTAAACCTACAAACTCACTTAGGCAGGACAAGCTCTGTAGGTTAAAAAATTATGTGGGTTGACCCAATTAGACAAAATAATATAATTTACAAAATAGCCTGAAATGACTGTGAGTTAGGTCAACTACATAGGTAAGTCGAACTAGTAGGTCAGGGGTAGTCAGATTGTCGGAACATAAGAATTTAGTGGCTAAGGTAGGAATGGTTGACCCCGAGAAGATAATTAACTTAGAAAAAAGCTCAACAGTTGTAATGCGTGCATTAACACACAGCCACACAATAGCATGGTGGGAGAGGGTTAAAATTCTAAAAAGTAATCTAGATAGGTGGAGAGAGAGATTGATTACTGAATTCTTGATCATCTTTGTTCTAAACCCAACACACACAATAAGAATGACTCATCCCTCATGCCTGAAATATGGAAGATACTGCTATCAATCAAGTCAAGAGATGAAAAATAGTGGAATCACATAAACGAAGTTGGAAAGTTGTGTGAGTAGTGCCTTGATATGATTATGAACAGCAATAAATTGTGCTGGAAACGTCATGAGTAAATATTACTGTATAACATCACTGTGAGACTTTATCAAAACAAATTTTACCCATTATGGAATTACACTCTACCACAGTGCACAAGTTATATTCTTATATCAATGGTTTGAACTGATTCAGCGCTCTATCTCTGAGCTGCGTGCTCCACCCCCAGACGAGAGAAAAAGCCATCGAGTGTTTAGATCGCTTCGACCTGGTTAGCAAACACAACTACTACTCATCCCAATCTATCAGTAGTATACAGTTTTATGCATAAAGGCAATTTCTTTAGCACCGTCTGGGTTCCTTCAGTCGTTTGCTATAACTTCATGTTTGTCTCAATGAATCTTGGAGGATATCTATTTTCTATGAAGACTTGTCTGAGTCGCTCAAGTTCCCCGTGGATTACAGCTGAACTTGCAATTACACCCAAAGCAGAAGGAGGAAGTGGAGAAATTTCTTTTGTTTTCCATTTCAATCGCTAAGGCTATTGGCAATGCAAAGTATGCAGACGCTTATTGTCTTCGGGTGGCTTCTTTTTTGAATTTGTAGATAAATTTGAAAGAAGCGTTCAAAGTCATCGATACCTTTGCACTCCTAGATCGTGACATTCTCCTAGAACAACAATAGAAAGACAAGCGGAATAAAGTTGGGATTCACTTAACTATAAGCACTAGACTTTAAAATGACATACATATCCTGGTTTCGAACTTCTCAGATGAAATGAAATGGTGTTGCGTGACTGCAGAGGCCAGTTGACAAAGACCTATGGGTGGTCAAACATAGTTTGTCTATTATCAGGTGGTAAGTTAAGTTGAGACCTAAAATCTTTGCATTATACTTCTATCAAATTAGGCTTAAATAATCAGATCAAAACTACAAGCCTGCGTGTTAGAGGTGTGTTTGACTGATTTCGAAAGTAAGTAGCGATATCTACAACACCATATTAAATAAGTACGTACACTACTACGATGAGTTATAAAACTTACGTATAATTGGCTTGAATTTTACAACACGAGACTCAGGATGAATAGGTTGAACGCTCAACTTGTCATGATGATTATAGCGAACATCTACAGTCTGTTTTAAGTGATTCTGCTCTTTCTGATGTGGATGGTGATGATGATGGTTGTGGTGGTGGTGCTTTTTCTGATCGATATTTGTTCGATAAGACTCCTTTTGCCTTTGTTGTTGTTGTTGTTGATGGCGTTTGAGGCTGTTAACATCATCTAAAAATGCTTTCCTTGATAATGATGTCGGTGGTAGGGGTTGTGATCGTGTACCAATGCTGTCATTCTCCTTATCAATATCATCTCCCACCAAAGCAACCACGACATCCTCGTCGTTATCCTCATCATCTTTCACATCATCATTTGATAACAGATAAGATGTTCGCATATCATACATTGTTGCAGAAAGAATATCTGTAGCCAATTGTGGATCAGTTGTAGAATGTTTTGCCTTATTCTCGTATACTGGATGATGATTATTAATGAATTTCTTATTATAATAATTATCAGCAGTTTTGACTTTTCCAGATAAATTTGTATATTTTGGTGAATGAAAATCAATTGAATTCTTGTTGTTAGATTTTGTTAATCTTTGTGATTTGCGTATAAGAGAGGAGGAGGAGGAAGACGGTGATTTTGTAGCATTCTCATTTAACAATCCCCTGTTACTGTAATCATTCTGACCATTCAATTTCACCAGTTGATGATATTGAACAGAACTTTTATTCTATATTGAAATGCAAATAAATGATAAGCGTTGAAGAGAAGTCTAGTAAAAAAAGTTTGCATTTATACTCTATTACGTAATAACAAATAATATATCACTAAGACTGATAAATGCTACTTTGAGAAATGATAGGAGTCATAAGAATTTCATCCAAGTGATTGTTGACTGGTCGGTCAGATGCTCTCCCTCCTCCTCCTTTATGACTGTGAAGAAAACATGGTCATTGAAAGTGAAAGACATGAAAAGCCTGGCTAGCTGTCTGTCTTTGATCGTAGGTGCCTGTATTCCAGCTCCTGTGTTATCTGGTAGACGTAATAAAGTGAGTTCTAGGTAAGGAGGCATGGGTTAATCGATCGACAACGTTGTGAAGCTAGGGCATGGTGCTACGCGTACCTAACCATCGATAGCCTTTGTCAACACAGACAGTCAATGTTAGCTGACATAGAATAGATCAAGTTGGAAAAGAACTAGACTCATAGTCAAACAAAACCAACATGACTTCATTATTCAATGAAACCCATAACAGTTAGTTTATGCCAACCAGTCATGTAAGCGGGTGTAGACTTTCTGGTTGGCATCCTCAAGATGGAAAAAACCCATGAAGATTGGAGACAATTTGGAAATGTGGCTCAAAATCATCGTTCTCAATGATGGTGTAGATGCATTCACTCTCTGTAATGATTTGTCATATTTAATGAGACTCTATTGTTTTTCCATATTATTACTAGTCTTTTTCATTCATTCACACTTCTGTGTATTATCTATCTTTTGTTGAACTTCCCTTGCTTTGTGTGGCGAGTGGCGAGTTGAACTGCTGCACTTCTGTGCAAAGTTCTATGTTAAAATCAACTAGTCAGTGTTTTTGTTTTTTTGTTTTCCTGCACGTTCCCAGTGGAACATAGGACTTCAAGCTAGATGCTTGAAGTTTCTGTAGCAGTGGTGATTTTTTTTTACAGGATGGGGTTGCTAGCCTCATGCCAAACCTTTCCTCTTCACTAATTTCACTACTGGCTCAGCGAGGTAAAGGAGTGCTCCGGCCGGGGATCGAACCCCGGACCATGTGCATGGTCGGCGAGCGTCTTAACCGTTATGCCACCGATGCACGTAATCAGTAAGAATAGTCAACCCACTCAGCTAGTAGCCTGAAGGTGGTGAGTTCCACTCCCGGTGGAGTTATAGGTGCGTGCTGCTGAAGAGTCTAAAACCTAGGGGAAACAGCTGCACCATGCTCACTGGTCAGTTTTCAATGATCTCACAACTATTGTCACTTGTTTATAATGAATTTTAAATTGGTATAAATGTAGAATTTTTAATAAACCCAGTATCGGAAGATAATAAAAATCTAAAACTATATGATCTTTAATTAATAAAGCCTTACAAACAATCGGTAAATCATTTTCCCTAGTATATGAGGTTTTTTTTAGGTTTACTTCGGCTATCTCCTACGGGAGGATGGGCCGGCTTCATGAATTCATGAAGTTTCATGGGAATTAAGTACGAGTGATGTCCCCAGAATCGCTCGGCCTTTTGTCTGAGAGTGCAGCTATAGCCTTTACACAACCAAGTGTGACCTACAAGGCAGTAGGAGTGGAGTAGGGAGTCCACTATCCATTGTCAGCCGGTGACCGGAGTCCGGTTCATACGCCTTTTTGAATGGGGCCAGACATCCAGGGCATCCAATAAGCTCTTTGTCCATACGTCTTCCGGTGAACTCCGGTGAGCTTCATACGTCAGTCGTTGGAGGTTTGGAATCAGGGTTTAGCCATCTCCCCTAGACTGTCATCCAATGGACAGCCAACCCGGTGAAGAGCGCCGGGCATATGCTTTTGCCCTCTCACTTCGGTGAAAAACACCTCCGCCACGTGAAGGCAGTGAGTAGGACTTCCTCAGGAGAGGCTATGTAAGACGCCCGGTCATATGGGAGCATTACAAGAGGTGTACGGAAGGGTGGCCAACCATAGTGAGGCTTTGGAGGCAATATATGAGACAATAAAACGATGTTTACATACTTTATGCGAAATCAAGATATGAACTGTGCTTCTTTACGGCTGTGAGAAATGGTCATTGGAAGTGGAAGATATGAAAAGGTTCACCATTATTGATCATGTGTTCGCACTCAATGACTCAAGTTAAACCAAAGCATAGGATCACTTTTTGAAGCCTTTAGTTGTTGACCTGAGTCAAGTAGGATGATGTATACTGTCTGGCTATGATGGTCATTGAGAAGTTAAGAACTAATGACTGCAGACTATTGATGATGTAGCTTAAAACTGCTTTCTGTTGTTTACAGATGTACTCACCCAGATTCGTTGAATCCTCATTATATTTAATTCATGTAACTATGGTCTTTAGGACAATTCTGTTTGTAATAATTTCGCTGAATTTCTTTATGTTCGCCTAGCTTTATTTGTGGTACATTTATCTACTACAACACTTGTGTGGAGTTGTACACTTAGACATCAGTTCACTTTACCATCTTGTACAGAATCGCATTCTTTCCTCAAGTGGTGAGGTGATTCTTTGAAATGGTACAAAACACTATGCACTAATAATTCTTAACCAGATATAAGCCAGTCAAGACGAAAATATCTTCAAAATAAGTAGACAATAAATAATAAAATACTCTCAACATCAATCCATGAGCACACTTGAAATAAATCAAATCCTGCAGATTAATCTGACGCATGCTATTGATTGACCCTATACAAACCGAAGTTGACTGGAGCTCTTCCTAGGGGGGGGTTGGGACGACAAATACTTACCACCGATGATGACATTGGCTAGTGTGCCAGTCATTATCCCCTTTTCTATTCAACTTCATCATAGATGTACTAATGGACTTAACCCTAGGTGACTTCAGCGACTCAGGGATTGACTTGCTACCGGGGAATAATCTCGTTGACTTAGAATATCCAGACGATATAGTCCTTCTAGGCGAAGACGCTGACAAAATGCAGAGTCTTCTGAACACCTTGAGCTGCAATCTACGAATGTTTGGTATGCGATTCGCTCCCGCCAAATGCAAGATGATGTTACAGGACTGGACTACACGGACTCCTAGATTAAAAATAGGAAGTGAAGTGGTAGAGCACGTTGACCGCTTCTCTTATTTGGGAAGTACCATCAGCCCCAACGGGTTGATCTCTGACGAAATCTCGGCACGGATGCAGGGGCTCGTTTCGCATTTGCCAGTTTACACCGCCTCTGACGTAGACGAGATATTCGACTATCGACCAAAGGGCGGGTGTACTGCTCATCAGTCCACTCCGTCCTCCTTTATGGCCAGCTGTGAGACCTGGCCATTGAGAGTGGAAGACATGAAAAGATTAGCTGTCTTTGATCATAGGTGCCTGCGCTCTCTCTCCCATGTGAAGTGGTGTAATAAGGTGAGCAATATTGAGGTTAGGCGTCGAGTTCTAGGTGAACAGGGGAAATCAATCGACGAAGTCGTGAAGTTACAAAGATTGAGATGGTTAGGACAAGTGTTACGTATGCCAAGCCATCGCCTCCCTCGACGAACAATGTTAGCGGATAAAGGGTCAGGCTGGAAAAGAGCTAATGGGAGGTCAAACAAAAACATGGCACCAGTCAATGAAATCTACAAGAGTTAGTCTAAGCCACATAGGAGGGTTTAGACTTCCTGGTTGGGGTCCTCGGGACAGTAAAAACAAATGGTTGGAAACAATTGGTGACATGGCTCAAAATCGTTCTCAGTGGCTAGCGCAAATGCATCCACTCCTTGTGACTTATGATCTCCGATGAAACTGTTTTGTTCTTCGTTATTACTCCTTTGTCTCATACCTCTGTCTACTGTCTCAATTATACCTTTCTTGTACTTTCTTCTCTTACTTTGTGTGATACATGGAGTGTGGTGACTTGAACTGGCGCACATATGTGCAAAGTCCTATGTCGAAAACAGACAGACAGTGTCCCAGTCACGCAAAAATCAAGAATTGGTAGAAGTCAGAAATTACCACCAGTGGCTGAATGGTCTACGAGCTTGTTTCGTAACCACAATCCCATTTTTTTCTCTTTTGTCCACCCTTTGTGTGTAGTATGGCGACTTGAACTGTGGCATTTCTCTATGCTAAGTCTCAACACCTTATAACTCACTCGGTCAGTTTATTTTGTTTCAAGTGAAAGTGATTAGAAAGATGATTAGTGATTGATCTGAGTATTAGTTGGAAATCACTGTGATACAATCAATGAAACTGGCTGGCTGGTTTCAACACAGAACTTTGCACAGATGTGCAACAGTTCGAGTTGCCACTCTCCTTCAATCTAGCGCGCACAAAGCAAGAGAAGAAAGTAAAAAGGAATGCAAAATAGGCATGGTAAACAGAGATATGAGGCAAAAAGAATAGTAACATCGAAGAACAATATATCTTTATCGGGTATTATAAGTCACAAGGAGTGGATGCATCTGCGCCATCACTGAGAACGATTTTGACCCATGTCAACAATTGTTTCCAGCCCTCATTGGTTTTTACCGTCTCGACGACTCCAACTGGTCAATAAGTCTACATCTTCCTATGTGATTGGTTTATACTAACTGTTGTGGATTTCATGGACTTATGAAGCCATGTTGGTTTTGGTTTGATCATCACTGGCTCTTTTTCCAGCCTGATCCATCCTGTATCAGCTAACACTGCCTGTCGAGAAAGGCCACGGCTAGACATACATAACCACCGAAACAAAGACTCAACTTTATTCAATTATGTCATAAAAAGAGAAATTAATGATGAAAATGAATTGACTCGTACCACCAAGATGGATTTGTTTCCAACAACACCAGATTATGTTTGTCGCAAAGATCATAACCGCACAATCTGTACCGATCTAAACTGAGTTAAACTTTCAGCATAGAACTTTGTACAAAAGTACAGCAGGTGAATGCATCACGATTCATAAAAGGAGGGGTGGGAAGTAAAGGCAATGCAGTGAAACTATAATCATTTGGAATGTACAGAGCAGAGAATAATCACACACACACACAGAATGTTGAAGATTTCATGAATCTAAGAACACAAAGATTGAGTCCATCTGAGCCACATACAGCGATTTTTAGCTATATTGCCGACAGTCTCTAGACATGACGCGGTATCTTCACCTACCTACGAAGCTCAAACCAACAGTTAAAAATCTTATAGATGGATTGACTTGGCTTTATTCACTCTACAGGGATTACAAACAGACAGATACAACACAGTATCAACATAGGATTCAACAATATCGCCTAGTGGTTCCAGTTCTAATAGGCTCTCCTCTCTGTTCTTCCAATGTAACTGCTCCCACAGATATATATGAATTGGTATACACAGTTGGAGGTAACATGTGACAGCCCCATCGAAGACATTAGTGAAAGAACAATTATATGAGGGTTTCGCGGAAAACCCCGAAAAATACGTTATCAATCAGTCAAGTGTAAAGCTAAATCAAAACGATATACAGATCTTTCGAGTGTCCCGTCGTATTTTCTCTCCAACTTTTCGTCCAAAAAAATGAAATTTTTCATCATATTCATCGTGAAAGTGATGCTTTTGTATACATTGTTGAAAGAGTCTAATAGAGACGAAACGTGATTCAAAACATTGCATACAATGAATGTGTCATCAACGTAGCTATAGTAGGCTATTGTGTCGCCAATTGCACACTTCAGCTTTGTCTGTTCCAGACTGGTATATGGAACTTGAAACCGAGGGGAAAGTGCGTCAATTTCAGTTTGATTTTGCTTTACACTTGACTGATTGATAACGTATTTTTCGGGGTTTTCCGCGAAACCCTCATATAATTGTTCTTTCACTAATGTCTTCGATGGGGCTGTCACATGTTACCTCCAATTGTGTAAACCAATTCACATATATCTACGGGAGCAGTTACATTGGAAGAACAGAGAGGAGAGCCTACGTCAAATTCTGCAAACATGTACCAAGGAGCCACCGGTTAAAGGGACCGTATTGTTTAAGCTCTTCAATCGCCTGGTTGACACAGGACACCGAGTAGATATGCTAGAATCATTCAAAATAATTAACAGACAATGTACCTCAAGTCTTCTCAGGTTTCCTGAAGTTATATCACAATAAAACGATCGAAGCCTGACTCATGTGTCCAAAAAGAATCCGTTGTTGGACTTCAACTACCCTGGTAACTCACCTCTTAGTAACTCTTTGTTTTCTAATTTTGTTAACTTATCTTTTCACCCCACCCCCTCGCCTTTATTTTTCGCTTAACTCTCTTATGAGATAATTTTTCTTGATCTTCTGAGTTCTGCTCACTGTATTACATCATCAACTTCTCATCTGACCTCATGTGCACCGAAATTTTGATCTCTTGTCTAATTACGTAACTATTACTAATTTTCTTTTGTTACCATCCCAACAACACAACTGTTAATTAATTTTTTCAAGAAACTTCTCTCTAACAATATATATATATATATATGTCGTAACACTTTAGATACCTTGTAGATCGCAACGCCTTATTTTACTATGACGCTCTGACAATATCTGTCTGTTTTCGACATAGAACTTTGCACATATGTGCGGAAGTTCAAGTCGCCACACTCCCTCCTTGTAGCACACAAAGCAACAGAAGAAAGTTGAAGAAATACATACTAGAGACAGTAAACAGAGGAGTGAGACAAAGGAATAGTAATAACCAGGAGTAAAACAGTTTCATTGGAAATCATAAGTCACAAGGAGTGGATGCATCTGCGCCAGCCATCCATTGAGAACGATTTTGAGCCATATCACCAATTGTTTCCAACCATTAGTTTTTTACCACCCCGAAGACCCCAACCAGAAAGCATTCTACACCATCCGACGTGACTGGCTTAAACTAACTGTTGCGGATTACATTGACTGATGAAGTCATGTTGGTTTTGGCTTGACTACCACTGGCTCTCTTCCAACCTGAACCTATATGTCAGCTAACATTGGCTAACACAGAATGCTCAAGTTAACGATGAGTGTAGGCAAGCATGTATCCGAAAAAAATAAAAAGTGATCATTTTACGGTGCAACACCTGAAAGAATAACCATTAAAAATTAGACAATTACCTACCTCTATAGATTGTTGATTCGTGGTTTTATTTATCAATGATAACTTTGGAACAATCTGTTTCTTTGATGAAATCTCATTGCTTCTCACATTGTTTATATTTTCATCACCATAACTATTATTATTACTATTATTGTTGTTGTTGTTATTATTATTATTGTTATTACTACTAGTATGATTGTCACCAGCATTCTCATCACAATTTGAAAATTCCTCCGATGTTATAGAAAAACATGACGGTGATGAAGATAAAGATGTTAGGGATGAATAACACACAGATTTCTTTTTCTCATTGTTCATTGTCTTGTCTTTCTTGTTGTTATTGCTGTTGTTGTCGTCGCCATCCTCATCATCATCATAATCATCATCGTAGGAATGACTATCATTGTCACCTTCAAACCTTCTATCATTCTTAGATTCCGATGATTCCAATGAAGAATAACGCAATGCTTGTTTCTCTTGACTAATTATCAAATCTAAATCATGTTTTAAACAAGCCAGTTGATCTTCATTTAAACCGGTCACACCGAGATTAGCTAATTCTTGACGAATTTCATCAAAATTAAAGTTTAGATTTTCATTGGTTAAAACATAATGATGATTAAGACTGTTTATCGATAGGTTAGATGGTGATGTTGCCTTCGATGATGGCAGTGTTGACTGATGATTGCGTTGGTGTTGCTGTTGTTGATTGTGATGTGAAGGATAACTGTTTTTCATCATAATGTTAAGGCTTACATCCATACATCATTTATGCATATGGCATTTATGTAATACATTATTATTACTATTAAAGTACTACTACTACTACTGCTACTACTATACAGTTAGTGAGTAAGTGGCTGAGTGATTTAGTATAACATTGACAGTTGATTCAATTGTTCAATGTTCAACAATGAATGACGGTACTACAAACAACAAGAGAAAAAAACAAAGATTTAGATGTATTTATCACATAGAAGTTATTCACTATTGTAATAGAACATCTCAAACAAACTTCAGACCTTCATTAACAGTTGTCTTCGCTCAATACTCAAGATCAGGTGCTCAGAAAAGACCAGCAATAGTGAGGGATCTCTGGGAGCAAACCGACCAGGAACCGATTGTGCAACAAATAAGCAGGAAGAAATGGAGATGGATTGGTTATACGCTGAGGAAACCACCAAGTAACATCACTAGACAAGCCCTCGAATGGAACCGGCGAGTTGGTCGTCATTGCAAGGGTGACTTGGAGGAGGTGATGTGAAGAAGAGATGAAAGCATGTGGACAGACTTGAAGCGGGATGCGAAAGTGGGTGAAAAGTGTGCGTCGATGGCACAGTGGTTAGGACACTCGCCGACCATGCGCACGGTGAGAGGTTCGATCCTCTGCCGACGCACACCTGATATCTATGGTCGGCCTGAAAGATTTGGGCTACCGATATCCATGCTGAAAATTCCATACTTGTACCAAAAATACAGTGTGGAATCAAGCTGTAATCAAAATATAAAAAATAAATAAAAAGTTGGCAGAAAACAGAACGCAGTGGAAACGCGCAGTTGAAGCCCTATGTTCCTCTAGGAATTAAAGGATATTATAATAATAATAATATAATAATAATAGAACATATTTTACTGCATTAACCGCCTATTTTCTCTCTCCAACATATTGGCTCAGAAACTTCACTTCACTTCATCACTCAAAAGATTATTAGCTTTCTTGTTAAACTTATGGTCTTGTGGTAATTAGGAAAATATAGCTCATTGGATTCCGACTCAGGGGTTTATTCAGTGAAACGGCACTGAGGTTCAATCCCTCTCTCCACCCCACCCCCCGGCCGAAGCACTTCTTATTATCCCCAATTAGGTGATAGTAAGCTCGGTATAATGGGAGAGGGTTGGGTGAGATGCTAGCCCCCCGACACCGTAAAAATATCAGAAATAAACACCACTGCTAATGAACCTTCAAACCTTACGCTTTAAGCCATATGTTCCACTCATAACGAAAACGATCGGAACCCAATGGCTTAATGATCTGTGGACTCGCCTCGTAACCAGAAAGTCCTGGGTTTGAGCCTCGCCCCCCCCCTCAGGTGGACGTGTACTTATGAAGAGACCCAGGCATTTGGATAAGACAGCCATCCAATACTTCTGCGGTGGTCTTCCCAAGGTTTTCTAACCGATGTCAGCTCGAAATGATTATACATTATGGGAGTTGTTATTCTATTTGTCACTGTACTCCGAAGTACTACAAACACGCCGTCCTACAGATGCTTTTCAACAACCACTTGCATTTCCATGCATTCGCCAATGAACTACGCCTATTGTGTAAGGACTAGTGATACAACCTGATTCCAAAATTTCAGTAACTGTAACAGGATTCCAACCCGCTAGCTAGAATTGATTAGAAGTCAAGATCCTAGGCCAATTAATCAGCCACAAATCCATACCATCATCCCCTCAAAGAAATACGAGGAAAAACCAGATATACATTGTATAGTCTTGAATACTTTCTTTCTAGGAATATAATGAGCATCTAATAGAAGAAGTTACTCAAAGTCTGTTTAATACTATACTCCCCTGTGTTAAGAAAAAAAAATTCAACACCTAACTCATTATCAAGCGTTAGCAGAAAATTCCTTTCCATATATTGATGACAATAGTTTCGGTGGAGTTACCATCATCACCACAATAGCATGCTTAACTGTCCTCTGCAGTTGGTGAAAGATAAAAACAGTTAAAAGACTAATATTTTATTGTTATTTATGGGATTTCTTGATGTTAGCCTCTACTGGACTGAAAGGACATTATGGCTTTTCAAGATGAACTTCTTTCATTGTACACTCAGCGCCGGTGAATTCAAAATGGGACAACGAATTCCACAATCAGAAGTAACTCCCTGACAAATACTAGAAAAGGTGTAGACTCTAAATTTATTATAAATATTCATTTTCATTCAGGTGGTCATGCACATTTCCATATCAGGACGGACTGACTATTGCTTCTTCGCAGGGCTTCCACAGCTCCTTATGAATGAAATTAGTTCTACTGAATCAGTATGATTAACAATTATTCATTCCTTTGACAAAATAGATCATTTTCATGAGCTTATTTGTAGGGATTTAATTGGTTTCAAGTATGACCACCGATTGATGTCAGTTAGAGAAGTGACCATTGAAAACCAGTACTCGAGTACTGGACAGCCGTTCTGTTACGGTCTTGTAAACGAAAGGACCCTGCGTCCGAAACCCAGTAAGTGTCTACTGCCGATGAATTCGAAACTAGGCCGAAACAGCTAGCTGCTCAGTACTCCTTGATATCAATCGATGATCAAACACGAAACAGATTATTATCGTCTACCATTGAGAGACTCCATAAAACTGTTCGGATGATGGTACCTGTCGGTATTTTGAATTAATTACAACTGTTCGCCTTTTGTTACGAATCAACACCAATTAGAGAGATTACTGAAAACACCAGGGAACACTGAACAGCTGCCTCGTCCTATCCTGGGTCTCTTCGTCAGTGCACACCCACGACCCCATCACTAGGGGTCGAACTCCAGACCATTAGCTCCCTGGCTTTCAATGATCTCTCAAACTGATGTTGATTTATCCCAAATCCATCGCCAGCCCTCTGATGGCTACTGGATGGATTTTCTGAAACTCCAGTGGGAAATTGTGACCAGTGGGGTTTATCATGTCTAGACAAAAATGAATGCTCTTCGGAGGTACTAGTAAGGATAGAGCTATATCACGAGTTGACGAACGTAGAATTCACAGGCAATCGAATTCCAGCCCAAGTGGCCCAATAGTCAACAAGGTCAATCTGAAGATTTCAAGTTCGATTGCTGGCGAGGTCATGGGTGCGCGCTGATGAAGAGTCCCAAAGTAGGTTGAAATAGGTGTTCACTTCTACTTGGTTTACAATGATCTCCCCTTAATGGATGTTTGTTCGCGACGAAAATTTGACAACGGAAAATTCCTCATCACTATAGATAGATATTGTCATTTCCAGCTATTTTATTGTATCACTCACAATTTATTTAACATAAAAGAGTCCGCTCTGCGTTTAAACTTTTATCTGATTGTAATTTATTCTTTCTGATCACCAGATTAACAAACTGATTATGTTTAACACATACAGCTGTTCATTCTATGCAATTCATAAAGAAAGTCTTCGTAAAACTCTACCTCAAAGATCAAAATATCAGTGGAGAACATTGAGAATAAACCGGAAACAAAAACACAACTCAATCGCATCATGACAGAATATACTAAGTCTCTGTCTGTCTGGATTCAACATAGAACTTGGCACCCAAGTGCACCAGTTCGAGTTGCCACTTTCCAAATACCACACAGAGGTAGACAAGAAGATGAGTGAAGAGAATCAATACAGTCTGACAGATATAAGAGTGAAACAGAATGGGTAATGGTAGAAAGGAATATGAAAGATTACAGAGACTGAATACATCTTCGCCGGCCATTGACAACGATTTTTAGCCATGTCACCTATTTTATCCAGCCATTGATTCCCAGAGTCAGTCCCGAGGGCCCCAACCCGGAAGTCTGCATCTCCCTACCTGACTCAGTTTAACTATCAAGGATTTCATGGATTGATGAGGCCATGTTTTTGTTTGGCCACCACTGGCTCTTTTCCAACCTGAACCTATATCAGCTAGCAAAGCCCTAAGTTGGCATGAATGCCCCGTTTCATTTGCATGGCATGGAATATTTCTGTTTTAAATAAATGGGTTCAGCAAATAATAATTAGTGTTTTTTCAAACAAACAGAGTTTGATGATGTCTTCGACAATAATTTCATACCTAACCTCCCCTCCATTCCGAGCTTACTGCTGACTAGTTACTAACCATACAAGGTTTAGAAGCGTATCGGCCGGGAGTCGAACCCAAGGTTAAAGAGTATTCCTCGAGTAAGCTACAACACTTATAACTGTTTCAGTGGTATAAATATACCCTTGTTTACCTTAAAGGCTGTCAATATCATATTTTGAAGAAACACAAGAGACGATTGGATTATTTACTCGAAGTTACTTCCTAGAAAGCAGCTTGTCGTCATTATTTCTTAATCATGGCTGGCTTCCAATTCACTATTGCTTAAACTGTTTACATTGAAAGGTTAGGTTATGAAATGACATCAGTTTGAAACCCTCTGAAATGCAGGAAGTACTTACTGCACAGGTATTCCGTCCAAGCTTTGGACTCTTCAGTAGCAGTACCCGCCAGGAATCGAACCCAGGGGTTCCGAGTTGACCCTTTTAGCTACTGTGACAAAATCCAGACGTCAATAAATGCTAATTTATGCTCATTTGTGATCACTGACCTATTTCTTGCCTTCTTTATACGAAAACTATTTAAAGATTGTTCAACCTGATATTGGAGGACTGGAAGCAATAGGTAGGAAGCCTTGGGTCTGGGTTGCGTGCTTTGTGACACTTATGAGTCAGTAAGGCGTATCTGCAACCTTGAAGGAACCCATGTCCCTTCTGAGATTCCAACATGCATCACCCAGTGCTGCAGTCAGATCCGTTACCATTGAGCTACTCAGCTTCGCGACTGACCTCCTGTAAGACTGTGTTCAATAGTTTGATTGGATAGATTGATTGCAGATCCGCCTTGATGACGAGTTCCAACAAGCACGCAACCTAAGTTCAGGCCACCTTTACGTCCCGAGTGGAACATAAGACTTCAAGCTGGAGCTTTGAAGTTTCAGCAGCAATGTTTTTATTTCTACGGGGTGGAACTGTTAGTCTCACACCCAACCTTCCCTCTTTACCGGATCGACTGACTGTCCACCAGGCGAAGCTTCGGAATGCATCGGCCAAAGATCGAATCCTGGGTTTCAGGCGAGGTTGGCCAGAATTCTACTACTACCTTCCAACTAACTGCCACCAACCTATCGCATATCAATATCAATTTACAGTGCAATGCCATCTAGTGGCATGATGGCCACATTGCAAACTTGACTGATAGAATTCATTTTGAAGCAAAACCAAAAGACCAAGCGAACTACATCGGTTATTAACTATTGTCCAATGAAAGAATAATTACACTGCATTACACCACAACATTTCATGCAATCCATAACAACAGAAATATGCATTCAGCCAAAAAAATAAAACAATAAATATAAGAAAAGCAAGCTTAAATATATATTTTACAATAAAATTAAAGTACAAAATCGGAGAGCATGAAGTTGCGGGTTTTTTCTCTGTACAAAGGAATTAAAATACTGAAGAAAAGTAGTAATATTGCACAATTAATGATGGTAATTCAAAACCTCAACAAAAAGCCTTTATCTACACCGCCAGTGGAAAAAGCGTCCCCGGAACCAACTGTAGCACGATTCGCTGTACTAGGACGAGAATCACCACCACCCATACTACTGTAGAATCTCTGACCACCCATAGGCGGTGCTGGAGGTTGATATCGTATACGACTGCCCCCAGCAGCAGCACCACCGGCGCCACCTGACGTGACAGAGGAAGATACTGCGGCCGCGGCTGCTGCAGCGGCGGCTACGGCAGCTGCTGCCGCTGCCAAAGCACCACCACCTGGTGGTCGAGGTGAAGATTTTTTCACAGCAATACCACCTTCAGATTTCGCTGGCCAACTTGGGAACATTGATGGATGAATAGCACGAGGACGTTCATTGAAGTAGGGATGAGCTAATGCTTTTTCAGCAGTAATTCGTTTTTCTGGACAATAGGTTAGAAAACTGTAGGAGAGAATAATTAAGGAAAAAACAAACAACATGTTTAGTGATAGTGTAACAACAGAAGACAAGGGCCAGGCAACAGATCGTTTATTACGGAAATCAGCACGTATTTATACATATTTCATGTACATTATTATCACTTATTCAAGCAGACAAACACAGTCTTCTGATTGGTTGTTTCTTGCTCAAGGTTATTCTGTACCGCTTGTGACTGGTTTCTCAAAAAGTTAAGCCATATATCTGCGAATCATATTCACCCACATTAAGTCTGCTGTGATTGGTTGTTGAATCAGCCTTGTTCATATTTTCTCACGGCCGATATTAGAGACATAGACGTTGACGTAAATTAATGTCTACCAATTGGCTAACAGCCTACTCTCACCACAATAGTAGTAACAATTTCCTTTATTCTAAAATAGTACTTATGTTACAGTGTAGAATTCTTATCATTTTGGTAAAATATTGCATCTAATTTACCCAACAACAGAAAACACAAAAATCAATATGATCGATAATAGCAACTTTTTGAAATGGGGAGAAGACAAACGGCTTTAGTCTTTTGAATAGTGACTGTTTTGAGCAACATATATACGCTGAAGCAAAATTTAAGATGCTCCGTTATAGATTAGGGATATCATCCAGTGTATTCTCAGTAAATAATTTTCAGTTAGTGTCATTCAGCATGTATCTAGAGCTGTGTATATTGACCTGTGAGTAGCATCTCTGTTGCGTTTTTGTTCTTGGAAAGGTGGGGAGAGATACTTGTCAACGACTTGCTACGTATTTAAAGCAATACTCGAATAACACAACGATCAGAATTTAGTATTAGAGCATATTTCCATGCTTCATATATTCCAAAATTATTATTGAACAGACAAGTGTATTGTTAAGTCGACTACCAAAGATGACAATGTTAGCTGACATAGGGTCAGGCTGGAAAAGTGGCGGTCAAACCAAAACATGACACCTGTCAATGAAATCTACAACAGTTAGTTTAAGTCAGTCACGTAGGAAGGTGTAGACTTCTTGGCTGGTTGAGGTCCTCGGGACGATAAACACTAATGACTGGAGACAATCGGTGATATGGCTGGCTCAAAATCTTTCTCAATGGCTAACGCAGATGCATCAACTCCTTGTGACTTATGATTTCCAATGAAACTGTTTTACTCCTGGTTATTACTATTCCTGTCCTTGTCTCACACCTCTGTTTATTGTCTCTATTATGCATTTCTTCAACTTTCTTCTCTTGCTTTGTGTGCTACAAGGAGGGAGTGTGGAGAATTGAACTGCTGCACATCAGTGTAAAATTTTATGTCGAAAACAGACAGACAGACACGACCCTATGATTCAAGGAAAGAACAATCGCAGGAAATGAAGTCAAGTCAGTCAGTGAATATTTGATAGAGAGTCCTCAAGATAAACTGGTAGCAAAAATTGTAAATTCATCCGCTTAATTAAATAGATTCAAGAGGGAAGAGCCAGTGGTAACGTAAATGTTCAAGATAAAAATGTTTTTATACTTCGATAGGTGACTGGGACAACATTTGACTATTATATAGTTAATAAAACACTTTTACCTTAGCAGAACAACTCAAAATTACATATAAAGAAACCCATTATACAAGATGGTTCTCGAAATCAGTTCACGTCTTACAAGCTCCAGGCCATGAGTAACACTTTGACTGTTTGGCGGCTGGTGATTCTACCCCAGCTGTCCGAAGGCTGGCGTAGTCGGGGAGGGATCCGAACCCGAAGCCCACTGAACTGTCTTCTTATTTGTAAACTAAATTTAGGCTATAACTATACTTATGATTATAAACGCTTTCTTTGGATTAATTAATGCCCATAATATATATATATATATATATATATATATATATATATATACATACATATATATATATATATGGGGGTGACATACTAGTTTGTAGATTAACTGAGGTACTAGGCAAAGTCTGGGAATCAGAGACAGTGCCATCAGACTGGGGTAAGTCACTTATTATACCGATATTCAAGAAGGGAAACAAGTCCTCGTGTGATAATCATAGGGGGATCAGCCTAACGAACATAGTCTCTAAAATCCTAGGCTCAGTAATCATGCATAGACTAAGCAGAACTCGGGAGGAACAGACAAGGGAAAATCAAGCAGGCTTTAGACCAGGTAGAGGGTGCATAGATCATATCTTCACTCTTCGACAGATTCTAGAACATAGACACACTTTTCGGCGTCCAACAATTGTCATATTTCTTGACTTGAAGGCGGCCTTCGACTCCGTGGATCGAAAGGTACTATGGCAATGTCTGACTGTGAAGGGAGTGCCAAGAAAGTACATTGCACTAATCAAGGCACTCTATTCAAACTCACGTAGTCGTGTAAGGGCTTATGGGGAATTGTCATCTGAATTGGTAACAACCAGTGGTGTCCGACAGGGATGTCCACTTTCCCCATTTCTGTTTAACTTCATCATAGATATGCTAATGGAAGTATCCTTAACTGAACGTAACGACTTAGGAATCGACTTGTTACCAGGGAATAGTCTTATGGACTTAGAATATGCAGATGACATAGTCCTGTTAGGGGAGGATGCTGACAAAATGCAGAGTCTTCTGAACACCTTGAGCAGCAATCTTCGTATGTTTGGCATGCGATTCGCCCCTGCAAAATGTAAGATGCTGCTACAGGACTGGACTACGTCAACTCCTAACTTAGTGATAGGGAGTGAAGTGATAGAACATGTTGACCACTTCACCTATTTGGGAAGTTGTATTAGCACCAACGGACTGATTGGCGATGAAATCTCAGCACGGATCCGAAAAGCTCGAGCTGCTTTCGCTGACTTACACCATCTCTGGCGTAGGCGTGACATCCGGTTATCAACCAAGGGACGTGTGTACTGCTCATCAGTTCGCTCCGTCCTTCTCTATGGCTCTGAAACATGGCCAATACGAGTTGAAGACATGAAAAGGTTGACTGCTTTCGATCATAGATGTCTGCGATCTCTGTCTCACGTTAGGTGGTGGTATGATAAGGTAAGTAATGTTGACGTTAGGCGTAGAGTGTTGGGCAAAGAGGGAAAATCAATCGACGAGGCTATAAAGTTACATAGACTAGAGATGGCTAGGTCACGTGGTGCGCATGCCTAACCATCGCCGCCCCCTCCTCCGACGGGCATTACTAGCTGATATAGGTGCAGGTTGGAAAAGAGTAAGTGGTGGCCAAACAAAAACATGGCCTCATCAATCCATGAAATCCTTGACAGTTAAACTGAGTCTCAGGTAGGTAGGGAGATGCAGACTTCCGGGTTGGGGCCCTCGGGACTGACTCTAGGAATCAATGGCTGGAGACAATAGGTGACATGGCTCAAAATCGTTGTCAATGGCCAGCGCAGATGTATTCAGTCTCTGTAATCTTTCATATTCCTTTCTACCATTACCCATTCTGTTTCACTCTTATACCTGTCAAACTCTATTGATTCTCTCCACTCATCTTCTTGTCTACCTTTGTGTGGTATCTGGAACGTGGCAACTCGAACTGGTGCACTTCGGTTCCAAGTTCTATGTTGAATCCAGACAGACAGACCTTATAATGAAACAAAGAGTTCAGTATATGGCGGTAATGTTATGCAGCTTGATTGCTTAATTAATTAAGTCAAGAGTTAATTGGAGCTTAGCTCAAAAAGGGCAACTCAATTGACTGAAAGTCGAGCGCTTACAAACTAACTGTCTGCAGTTTAGATTACAGCTTAATGTGTTATTTGTCACTAAAGTTCACAAAGAACTTCTGGAAGAAGATTAACACTACCGTCTCCAATCTATTTGTCGAGAAAGATGAATCAGAAAGATAAAAAGGTTGAAGATATTTTAATTTAATTTCTACAACGCATACCACCCGTATTACAAACAGATGAAGTTTGCTGTTGTAAGGATCATTACTAGAGTCTTTCATGAAGAAAAAACTAACCAATGATATTTATTCTACTATTCGAAGCTACCATGGTTAAGTTGGCGTTCCATCCTATTCGGGATTGTTCAACGAAATGTACCTGCTCCCTAGTAAGTGGTGGTCTCCAAACTCAGTGCTCACTGGCTTCAAATGCTAAAGGCGTTAACCACTACGCCAAAAGGGCCAAGTATTGATTAACAGAGGCTTAATACGTTACAGATTTGATAACGAGCTGACATCAGTTAGAGAACTATTGGAAAACCACCAGAGAGTAATGGACAGCCATTTCGTCCGAATTCGGGACACTTTAGCAGTACTTACTTACTTTACTTCGGCTATCTCCTACGGGAGGATGAGCCGGCTTCATGAACGTCTCGAATCATCGCTGCCCAGGCGCGACAATTTGTAAGAGAGTTCATGAAGTTTCATGGCAATTTGGTACGAGTGATGTCCCCAGCATCGCTCGGCCTTTTGTTTGACAGTGCAGCTCTAGCCTTTACACAGCCAAGTGTGACCTACAAGGCAGTAGGAGTGGAGTAAGGAGTCCACTATCCATTGTCAGCCGGTGACCGGAGTTCGGTTCATACGCCTTTTTGAATGGGGCCAGACATCCAGGACATCCAACAAGCCCATTATCCATACGTCTGCCGGTGAGCTCCAGTGAGCTTCATACGCCAGTCGTTGGAGGTTTGGAATCAGGGTTTAACCATCTCCCCTAGACTGCCATCCAATGGACAGTCAACCCGGTGGAGAGCGCCGGGCATCCGCTTTCGCCCTCTCACTTTGGTGAGAAACACCTCCGCCACGTGAAGGCAGTGAGTAGGACTTCCTCAGGAGAGGCTATGTAAGACTCCCGGTCATATGGGAGCATTTCAGGAGGTGTGCAGTACGCCCCTATCGATGTTCAAACAAAAGACTTTCTGGCTACACTGTGAGTTCATAGACCATTTAACCGTTGGAACCAGATTCAGTGACGCATGAATTCCAATTTCTATCAATTCAGAATAAACAGGGCAGCCACCAGCCAACGTCATAGGTGAGTAACTGTTCTCTTACTTAAATCAGTGGACGCCATTGGTTATAACTACTCACTATGACGCCAGATAACTTCATGTATACAGCCAGTTACTAGTGCACAACAGATTAATTTTTAAGTGTTTGTCTACAGGTTTGGTCACGAGGTGACATCGGTCAAGTAAGTGAACAATACACTCTCGCCTATGATATAAGATAGCGGTTGCACCGTATACAGCGAATTGGCAGAAGTTGGAATTAACAAGCCATTGAATCGGATCCCAGTGGCTTAATGGTCTACGGAGCTCACTTGGTGACCAGCAGGTCCCGGGTTCGAACCCCAGTGACTGCGTACTAAAGACGAAGAGTCTCAAACCGGGACGAAACAAGTATCCAGTACTCCTGGGCTTTCCAATGGTTCTCTAACTGATTTCAACTCATGGTCAAACCTTTAACAAATTTATTAACCGTAATAAGGGAAATAAAGAGAGAGAAAGAGAATGGAATGGATGATTTGAAGCTACGAAAACTAGTTATGAAATCAATGAAAACAAAGAGATAGTGAACGACAACTTAATTCTGTGTCTGTACTCCCTAATGATCCTCATCCTTGAAACATCCTCTGACTCCGACCCACCTCTTAGCTTAGTAGTCCCTGACTCAATTTCAGATGGGTTGAGGAAAAGCTATCCAAGCAGCTTCTCTGGTTTCAAATGTTTCCCTAATTGATATCGTATCATGACGAAATCTACCTTGAGACTTTCTCTTCAGTAACGAAAGACTTTGGTACATCAGTCAGAAACCCTACACAGTTCCACTTCCTACTTACTCTAGTAGATAATGACAATGCGGACCAATGACCGACCGAAGTTTGACTTGGGCAATTTGTTACAACAAAATGGAAATGCATAAAACACCGATGATTAACACACACACACACACACAAACACGAGTTATTCTGCCCTAACTCACCTATTTAGTAAATCAAATCCTTGATCAGAAATTTGTTTCTCTGTAAATCTTCGTCTCAGCTGATTATATGGATATTCTGTAAAAACGCATTTTTTAATCCCAGGCAGTTGGGATACACCTGGCCAAATTCTCTCAGTTGGTGTGCCTAAATCCCGGAAAATAATATTCAATTCATCGATTTCGCCTTTTCCAGGGAATAATGGTCGTTGTAGTAGGAATTCAGCAAAAATACACCCAACCGACCATAAATCTATTGGACAAGAATATTGTTTTGTACCTTATTGTATAAAGAAGTAAAGAAGAATGATAGAAAGACTTCAGTACATAGAAAACCTTAAATTGTGAATTTAATTTCTAAATTTACCAAGAAGCAATTGGGATAATATTGAGGATAAATAAATAAATAAATAATGTTTAACTATAGGTCAATACTTGCTGTATATAAATACCCAAGATACTAACCGATTATTTGTACACTGGAGGTAAGGTTTTTAGATAATTTGGTGGATGGTAACTAATAGTGGGAACCAGTAGGTGCATTTCAAACCATTAAGGACCCATCATCTGCATGCATCTGTATTTCGCAGTGAGTGATAGTGTTCCCCCTCCCCCCCCCACCACTGACACTGTCACACAGTATCCAGTATCGATATCAAACGCCAAAGTATTATCCACTAGATCGATAGGACCACAAGAACCAGTTCTTTTGACCAACTAACATCAGTTATTATTTGTCAACTTTTGATTTTTCCGTTGACTGACGAGTCTTAAAAATGATGAAATGTGCATTCTGCATTCCAATGATAATCCGCATCGACTAAACTACTAAAATTTAATCGGCCTAATCAGTTAACAGGAAAATAAAAGTTGAATTAGCAACTGGCCCTATTCAGGCAGTGACCTGGGGTTTTTAGTGGGAAGCCATGACCAGTAGGGTAGAGTAGCTTAAAGATAAGGTAGCAACTCATCAAAGAAGACAGTGCGAAACGGTTGCGCTATGTTGTGAATTAGCAGAAGTTAGAATTCAAAGACCATTGGATCAGGTCCCAGTGGCTCAATGGTCTACGAGCTCGCCTTGTGACCAGAAGATCCTGGGTTCAAACCCCGGCGGGTACGTGCTGCTGAAGAGCCCCGAACTAGGACCATTGAAACAGCCAACTGGTACTCTTAGGTTTATCAAGGGTTCTCTCACCGACGTCAACTCAGGATGAAATTCTCCAAACAATCAAACAAAATCCCTATAAAAACCAACACTTGAAAAGTGAATTAAAAAAGATTTTTATACGTTAAAGGTGAACATTCATAAGAAAACTTAGATCTGCTTATCGTGTTTGTCAACACTGAGCATCAAAAGATATCTCTTTAGCACTGTTGACATAAGTCAGTTGCCTTCCAAATGAAAATCAATCTCATAAATCAGTATGGTAACCAGAAAGCTTTAACACCAGGAAAGGTGTTCAGGTTACAACTGATTTCTAGTTGTACCAGAATACTAAGTAACCCGTCTCGCTGTCTCTAGAACAGTTTCTACGAGTCAAGTGTGCTGCAGTGTCACGAGGTTGTGAAGCTACAGAGATTGAGATAGCTAGAACATGTATCACCCATGCCTCCTAGCCATCCATCGTCTTCATCGACTGCCAATGTTAACTGACATAGGATCACAATCAGGCTGGAAAAAAGCTGGTGGCGGTCAAACGGATACATGACTTCATCAGTCAATGAAATCCCATAATACAGTTAGTTTAAGCCAGTCAACCATCCGGCCACATGGGGAGGTGTAGACTGCCAGTCTTGATGGTCAGGGTCCTCCGGATGGTAGGAACCACTGGTTGGAAACAATCGGCGATATAACCCCAAATCGTTCTCAATGACTGACGCAAATGCATTCACTGTCTGTGGTGATTTATCATATCCAATAAAACTCCATTGTTCACTTTCCCTCACTCGCATTCATGTTTATTATCTCTCTTTTGAATCTCTACTTTCTTCTCTTGCTTTGTGCGCTGCATGGAGAGCGGCCAGTTGAAAAGGTGCACTCAAGTGCAAAGTTCAGTGCTAGTCGCTTAATTAAAAGATGACGTTCTTAAGTGCAGAGTAATTTGACATCGCGAATTAGGAGTGAATCAACCGAAAACAGTTTGTACCTAGAACCTCCTTAATCAAAAGTAGTGTCTAAGCTTATCACCATCACAGAGACGAAGAAGCCCTCCTCTAGATTCTGGTTGCCAGATGTTAAGGGACAAAGACAGTTTTCTTTGTGAAGTTTGTTGGGGAAAAAACCCAACGGTCAAGCCTTCTTCCCAATTTCAACTTGTTCTTTCATGAAACCTGAATTAGTTGATGGAATAGAATATTGATTAAACATAAAACATCCCCAAAAAACAACCGGAAACAACAAAATCAATCGTGTTAACGCCGAAAACTCTGTTTATAAATACTGACCACTGAGAAAAATGTAAGCATCGAAATACTTACAACCATATTTTCTGTCCTCTCCCTTAGAGTTGTTTTAAAATTCAAACTACTACATAAACTCTACTCAAGATTAACTCACCTAATAACAATTCCGGTGCCCGATACCATAAGGTAACAACAACTTCAGTATAGTGTTTAAGCGGAGAACCATATTCCCGAGCTAACCCAAAATCTCCTACCTACAACGATAAATATAGACAAGATGTAAGAACAGTATATATAAGAAGTGTAATAATTGAACAACTTGTAGAAATCGGCCAATCTATCTCAACAAACTCCTCATTTAAGGTGATATACAAAGGACAGAGTAATCCTCCTGCGATGATCCGCCTTCACCTCCTTCGTCCTGCTGAAGCTCTGACCATTTAAATGGAGGAACTCAGAGCTGTGTATACATCCACTTCTAACATCGTAATAAGAATTCTCCTGCCATATGCAACAAATTCGCTGAGCGTATTGACCACTTCACTTATTTGGGTGAGAAATTGCATCAGCTAGCCCCAGTGGGTTGACGGTTGATGAAATCTCAGAATGAATACAGAAGGCTCGTGCGGTATTTACCAACTTACGCCATCTCTGCCTTAGTAGACATGATAGCCGGCCAACCATCGGCCAAAGGATGGCAGCAGTTCTCTCTGTCAACCTTTATGCCTATGAGATAGGCATGGCAGTTGAACTGGAAGACGTGAAAAGCCTATCTGTCAGTGTCTAAGTTCTATCTCCCGTGTTAGATGGTAGGTATAATACGGTGAGTAATATTGAGGTTAGACATCGAGTGCTAGATAAGGAGGAAAAATTAATCGATGAGCTTATGAAGGTACATCGACTGAGGTAGCTAGGACATATATTACTCACGCCTCCTAGCCATCCATCGCCTTCATCGACTCCCAATTTTAGCTGATATAGGATCGATAAGGTTGGAAATGAGCTAGTGGTGGTCAAACGGAAACATGGCTTCATCAGTCAATGAAATCCATGATGCAGTTGGTTTAAACCAGCCACCAAGAAGCATCCAGTCGCCTAGGGAGATGCAAATAAATACATTAAAAGAGGAAAATAGACGAAAATTAAAGGCTGACAAGTAAAGACAACCAACCACCAAATGACTAACTAACTAACTGACTAACCAACTCACCTTTAAGATTCCTTGATGACTTAATAAAAGATTTGATGTTTTCAAGTCACGATGTAATATCCAATTATCGTGTAGATGAGCAACTGCACGTAATAACTGTACAAGTAAACACTTCACTTCACCAACACTGAATGGACCATTCATAACCTAAAAGGTGGAACCGAGAAGATATTGATAAAAACGACAGCTGGGGAATTTGAATACCCCACCACCACCACCACCACCACCACCACCATCAGAATGACACCAGTTTACAGATGAGATTATAAAACAGACAATGAGATATTTAGTGTTTGTGAACATCCTGATCATAGAGAAGACGGAGATGATGATGATAATCAACCAACCAACCAACCAACCAACAACAACAACAACAACAACGACCAGCACCAATCACTATATCAACGGAAGAAATTGATGAAAAAGGTTACTTCCTTCGTATCCGCTACAGGCAACTGGAACGGATAAAGATGTCAAAGCTAACCAGATTTGCAAAGAGGCAAAGTAAACCTTCAACACACTCTGAAGGCGTATCTTGCGCCTTTCTGATTGTGACTTTGATATCTTCATCCGTTCCAGCTGCCTGTAGTTGAAAGGATGCTCCCCTAGACAAGTGAAGGAAGTAACCTCTGTCAATTATCTCCCGTTGATGGTGGTTGGTGCTGGTTGTTGTTGTTGTTGCGATTGGTTGATTATATCTTCATCACCTTCATCTTCTCTATATTCACCTGGAGTCCTGCCTTCGCTGGCAACCGCCTCCTCAACAAGTTTGTTGATCTTTGCCTGCAAGTCTTCGAGTTTCTGTGACATTAAATATAAATCATCCACGCACGAAATCCAGATCTTCTAGAGTATTCTTATCGGTCCAACGTACTCCTATCTCCTAGCTCCATACAGTCTGATACATAATCCAGTGTCCACTACAATTAAGAATGTCATCGGTGATAATAGGCAGTCCTATTCTTACTCCTGTATTTACTTTGAACGCCTCACTGAGTTCAAGTCAATATATATGTAAAAATTGGGCAATGTTAGTATGTAATTCCATATTTATTTTGTTTTATTCAATATATCGCACGTGGAACAGTATTACATTTAATGTATTTACAGTACACTGTCTCGTTAGGACCTTCAGGATTCTAAGAACCAATTGCTGGAGACAACTGGTAGGATGGCTGGCTGGCTCGTTCTCAATGGCGCAAACGCATTCCCTCTTTATGATTTCCTACATCCATATGTCTGTCTGTCTGTTTTCGACATAGAACTTTGCACAAATATGCGGAAGTTCAAGTCGCCACACTCCGTGTAGCACGCGAAGCAAGAGAAGAAAGTACAAGAAAAGCATAATAGAAACAGTGAGCAGAGGTGTGAGACAAAGAAAGAGTATTAACGAAGAACAAAACAGTTTCATTGGAGATCATAAGTCACAAGGAGTGGATGCATCTGCGCTAGCCACTGAGAACGGTTTTGAGCCATGTCACCAATTGTTTCCAACCATAGATTTTTACCGTCCCGAGGACCCCAGCCTGCAAGTCTACACCTTCCTACGTAGCTTAGACCAACTGTTGTGGATTTCATTGACTGGTGCCAAGTTTTTGTTTGACCTCCGCTAGCTTTTCTCTAGCCTGACCCTATATCCGCTAACATTGCTCGTCAAGGGAGGCGATGGCTTGGCATATCCATGTTACTATTCATTCTTCCCTAATTTTCTGCTCATTGCACATCTTTTGAATTCCTTACTCTCTATTTTCTGACTTTGTTTGCTACATGAAGTTTGCAACTTGAAATGTTCCCTTTCTGTGGAAAGTTCTGCGTTAAAATGAGTCAATCAATTGGTCATACTCGATATTATGTCATCCAATAAGGAAGTCCCACACTTAAAAAGGATTCAGATCACCGGTGATCTTTAGGACTGATGTATGTAATCAAATGTGGAAATGTTGTCCGATGGCTAAGGAATTAATGGGGCCCCAAGTCGAACTCCCTCCCTACCTAATTTAGTTTGGATAAGAAGTAGCCTTAGCAGCCTTGAGACAATCATCGGTTCATAGCCTGATACATGTACTATGTGTTCCAGATAAGTGAGTTCAACCAACATGTATGCTAATAGGCTATTAGACGGTGACCTAGTTAAAAGTCAGATTCATGGCACAGTAACAGTCTAATCCCTGTGAACCGACACTTAAATATTGAAGAGCGACTGGCCTTATTCAGGTAGGTAGGTAGTTACCTAGATTCTGGTGGTAATTCGTAACTGGCGGGGTTCACCACCAGGTTGGGTGTGAGACAAATACTAACCACTGATGACATTAGCTAGTAGCTGCGCTATACTGTAAGTTGGCAGAAACTGGAATTCATGGGTAGGGCACTGGGTCGGGTCCCAGAGGCTGGGTGGTCTAGGAGCTCGCCGTGTAACAACCACAAGGTCCTGGGTCTGAAACTCAGTCGGTGGGCGGCGTACTGACGAAGAGTCCCAAACACTATAAAGAATCAACTGTCCAGTACTCTCAGGTGGTTTTCTAAATTATTCTCTAACCGATGTCAGCTCATGATGAAAACCCTGTAATCAGTCAAATCCCTGTGAACCAACACTTGAATACATCGATTAAGAAGGAGAAATTTCATAAATTTCATTTTACTAGAAGACACATATCTTTAAAAAAGAAGAAAATGTGAGTTTATTGAAGAACTTACCTCCATCAGCGATTTTAAATCATGCTCTACATAATCCATGACTAAATATATTTTATCCATATTACTGCCAACAACTACTTCACGTACAGTAACAATATTCTCATGTTGAGCTTTCATTAACATATTGATTTCACGTAGTGATGTAATCGGGAAACCATCACGCTCTTTTTCCATTTTTAAACGTTTCAATGCAACAATTTCATTGACTTTTTTATCCCGAGCACGATAAACAACACCATAAGTGCCTTCTTCAATACGATTAAGGCATTCAAATTCTTCAACTGATCGGCAACCCTAAGAGATGAAGAAAAGAAGAGAGAGAGATGATAGATAATAGTTTATTCTTTGTACATAAGATGTCATACAAACTCGAAGACATACTGGCAGCAGTATAGCCGACTAGCTGGCAGGAGTAGTCAGTGAAGGCAGGACTTCAGGTGAACATAGAGAAGATGGAGGTGATTTAGAGATACTCACACACTAACAGGAACAACCACCACCAGTGCCAATCACTATTAACGGGAAAAAATTTGAAACAGGTCACTTCCGTCACTTATTTAGGAAGAAGCATAGTTTCAACTTAAGGCGACAGCAGGGATGAACATGTCAAAACTACAATCCGAAAAGACAAGATAGACAATTCATCACTTCGAAAATCCTCTGTACTCATCATGGAGAAAGAGATTTGGATTTTCAACACCGATGTTAAGTCAGTCAGTTCTTTTATATGAGTTAGAAAATTGTTCAAAGCGTCATGAAAGGCTATTGCAGACATTTATCAACAGTTGCCATCGGTGGTTCCATACTGAAGAATCAGCGAAAAGAAACTCTGCCTGGGAACAAACAAACCAAGAACCTATTGCCCAACAAATATGTAGGAGAAAGTGCAGATGGATTGAGCGCACACACTGAGAAAACTGTCGAATGACATTACGTCGAAAGCCACCACCACTCGAAAGGAACCCGAATGGGACATGTATCCAAAAATGACATAAAGGAGATCGTGTGAGATGACAGACTATGGGTAACCGTAGGGCCAGGCTTAAGAGGACGGTAGAGAAAAGGACAACTTGGAGACGTTCTGTCAAAGCCCTATGTTCCACTCGGAACCCAAGGGAACAATAATAATAAATATACAAGAAACTTCACAATACAGCTGAGTAAAGTCTTAGAAGGCAACAATGACATTGCTTTTGTCTCCTAAATAATGAAATTAATTGGGGGGGTTTATAGACAGACCTCATCTATTTTAGCTTAAATAACTTAGCAGTATAATGAGTCTTAACATACTTAAATGCAAACACAAGTGTGCAAAAGCTAGTACTCACAAGGTAGAAATTTATGTCTTCTTCGATCTGAAACGATTCATTTTGCGAGATTATTATAAGTCCTGAAGTCTGTCTGCCTCTTTAAGATCGAGCAACCAGGTTAAAACATATTTGAATTCGTTGAGATTAATTCGTAATCGAACACTATACCGGGTATATCGCAGCGTACTGTTAGCTGTTCAGGTTTACCTACTCTCATGCCTCTGGCTAATGAGGAAGTCGTGTATTTAGCTTCGCTACCATAACAGTCTTTTCTGTCAGCAGAACTTTACTCTCCCTCGGAACCTATAAAATAATTTAGGTTACACACTAGGTATGGCTTGTACACTAGTGTACTCAAAAACCTCTGTAATGAATAAAATGAGTTATGATTAACCCGGTATAAATATTGGGAGTTATACACCTGACTGTACACATTTATTCTTATTTGCTTCATAACTTGACTTTCAGTAAGTGAAAAAAAACCGCCTAAATTTCTTTCTGTCTAACTTAGATCCCACTGTAGCCAAGTACACACAAACTGATGTCGGTTACTGATAGGTTACCCCACCTGCTAACTATATGTATCTCATGAGAACCAAACAAACCCTTCCTTTGAAGCGTAAACATAACAGCCAGCATGATGTTTTCTCTTAGTTTTATTAGATGCATGAAAGTCATATGGTTTGAAACGTTTAATGAATGAATTACTGTATTTTATGCGATTTGTGATCATATTTTATTAAAATTAAGAATGAAAACATGACTTATTAGATGCAACATGTAAATGAAGGAAAAGGTAGCCCAGGTGTCAAACAGGCCGCCAACTCGTAAACAGTGCATATGTAGGCGGGAAAGTACAAGTGTATGTACAACGAGCATATAAATCAGTGTGAGTCAGGAATCTCTGCTAATAACACTGAATACACCATCACTTGTGCAGCTAGTCAGCAGCACCTGCAACCAACTAAGAGGTTCTTCGACACGTACTAAATTTGACATTTTTTTTATACTTTATTCCTTTTTTACGTTCCGAGTGGAACATACAACTTCAAGTTAGCAAGGGCTTTGTCGTTTCGGTAGCGATAGTTTCATTTTCACAGCGTGGAGTGTTACTAGAGCCTCACGCCGAACCTTTTCTCTTTACCAACCTTACGAACACCATCCATTTAGCGAGGTTTAGAAGTGCGTTGCATGCTGGGGATCAAACCCCGGGCTACGTGCGTTGTTGGCTAGCACTCTACCGCTAAACCACAAACTCACGATCCACACTAAATGCATTTCAATTATTCGGAATCAGCTTACAAATAGTTGGGAAACTCAGACAAAACAACCATGAATCACACCAATTAGCGTTTACAATTTACGAAAACTACTCTAACTAGCCTTCACATCTGACATGAAGACATAACTCTGACTTCATGATAGCTCCATACACATGATTCAGTCGGACAATAAGGCAAACGTTCAAAATGTAACAGCCAATCAGAGAATAGGTATCTTATTTACAAACTTACTTGTATAGACGGAAAATAGAATGGTTTTCCAGGTGGTTTACTATCTTCCGGAGAATCGATTTTAGCATTATCGCCGACACCGTCACCGCCATCATCATCATCATCACGGAAATCTTTGTACTTGTCTTCATCAGCGTCAACATCCATTTTTCTATCAGCACCATTATTACTACTAGTACTGATAGGATTATGCATAAAGGGATTATCAGACACACCAACACCAAAGTCATCAGATTCTGATGAAGATTCTGAATAACCTGGATACTGTGGTAATCGTGGTGGTCGTGGCGGAAACCGACTAAGCCTTCCACTGCCTTTTGTTTCACCACCACCACCTTCAACAATATGTTGTTTATTACTTCCAGAAGGGAATGATGATGGATTAGTATCTTTGATTTTACTGCTCACCATCACCACCTCTTTATCGTTAACATTAAGATTTACTTCTTTCGTCTTATTCGAGTCTAATTCACTTTCTTCTTCTGAATAGCGTTCATCATGACCGATTTCATGTTTTGATGGTGCTAAATTTGACCGGTGGCGGTGACTAGTCTGTTCAGATGAAGATAATTTCTGTGATAATGATCGATGTTCTTTTGACTTTGATCTCTTCGATGAGTGTTTCTTATGCCGACTGGCAATTGCTTCAATTTCAGTATTCTTTGATAATTTACTCTTTTTGTGATGTTTGTAAGATTCTTCAATTAGAATATCTTGATGACTTTCAATAATATCTTGTGATATTTTTTCACGTTTATATAATAAATTTGTCGGATAATTATTGTCTACTGGTACGGCTGCGGCTGGAGCTGCCCCTGTCGTCGTCGTCGTCATCGTTTCTCGTTTATCTGACTTATGCTTATGTTTTATCTTAACTGATATTTGATTTGGACCAATATACGGACGATTCGCTTCTGGTGGAGGCGCTGTCTCCCTGGCCTCTCGATGATAACGTCGTTTACTATGATGACGATGATGCCGACGATGATCATACGCTGTTGTGGTATCACGATCATATGATGATGACATCTGAGAAGATGAATGTTGATGATGGTGGTGGTGGTGATGAGCACTAGCTACGGATGAAGATTTACCATGTACAGTAGGCGATGAACGTGAAGATGATGATGATGATGAAGAAGAAGAAGAACCGGAAGCTTTACTCATCTGCGAGGAATTAGAGGATATTGAATCAAGTGAACCAGAACAACTATGCTGCGGTTGTTGTTGCTGTTGCTGCATACCTGGATGAGGTAGTCGATCATGACGAACAGCACTTGATATCATCTTTTCATACTTTTGATCTGATTCCCTCCATTTGGTAGTCTGGTCTAATTCACTTGTTGTCGACGATGAATGGTGTACTTTACGCTGTTTACTTTCTTTTTTACTATACTTCAAAGGGATATCATCGCCTCGTATCTTTGAGGATTCTTTCTCTCTATCTTTACGTTCTCGTTTTGATTTTTTTGATTTAGACTTTTTTGACACCTCAATTGGGGAATGGCTTAATTCAACTGATGTATAAAGATTTTCTGATCCAATAATTTTGTCTGATAAACCAGTGGGTACTGACTGAGAAGTTGAGGATAGGACGTTATCATATTTTGAGAAGCTTGTCTGGCTTTGACTATACTTTAAACCGTATTCTTCGCGTTCTTTTTGTATTGCTTTAAAACTTCGACTATCTTGAGGCGGAGATTTGTCTACAGAAGTTTGATGAACTGAAGGCATCAGAGAACGATCTATTTTTTGGGTGAGAATAAAATAACATTTCTTTTTACATATTTCACATAATTATATTTTCTTCGATTGAAAATATAACAGTATGTAAATTCCATAAATTTACACAATTCCCACAAACACACACATACACACACTGTAAAACGTAAACGAATTTGTGCAGCAACATGAAAATCAAAGATATAGGAATAGGTACATCTGAATGGATCAGAAACTTGGCGGGCGGGTCATAAAAAATATTTCCAACAGCCTGTTGAAGACCTTTATCAACAACTAACTGTCTTCGCTCTGTCTGTCTGGATTCAACATAGAACTTGGAACCGAAGTGCACCAGTTCGAGTTGCCACGTTCCAAATACCACACAAAGGTAGACAAGAAGATGAGTGGAGAGAATTAATAGAGTTTGACAGGTATAAGAGTGAAACACAATGGGTAACGGTAGAAAGGAATATGAAAGATTACAGAGACTGAATACATCTTCGCCCGCCATTGACAACGATTTCGAGCCATGTCACCTATTGTATCCAGCCATTGCCATTGATTCCTAGAGTCAGTCCCGAGGGCCCCAACCCGGAAGTCTGCATCTCCCAACCTACCTGAAGACTCAGTTTAACTGTCAAGGATTTCATGGATCGATGTCGTCATGTTTTTGTTTGGCCACCACCACCACTCACTCTTTTCCAACCTGCACCTATATCAATCAGCTAGTAATGCCCGTCGGCGGGGGGAGGCGATGGTTAGGCATGCGCACCACGTCACCTAGCCATCTCTATGCCATCTATGTAACTTTATAGCCTCGTCGATTGATTTTCCCTGTTTGCCCAACACTACGCCTAACGTCAACATTACTTACCTTATTATACCATCACCTAACTTGAGAAAGAGATCTCAGACATCTATGATTGAAAACAGACAACATTTTCATGTCTTCAACTCGTATTGGCCATGTTTCAGAGCCATAGAGAAGGACGGAGCGAACTGCAGCTGAGCAGTACTCTTCGCTCTATACTGAAGATCAGATGGCCTGGTCGGAAAGAATCACCAACAAGAACCAATCGCCAACCAACAAACATACAGGAGAAAGTGGAGATGGATTGGACACTCGCTGAGGAGACCGGTGGGTGACATGGCGCGTGTGTCAAACCATTGCTCGAGTGGAACCCGAAAGGGAAGAGGAGAGTGGGACATCCAAGGGTGACATGGAGGAGATCGTGTGAAGAGGAGTTGAAACACTATATGAACTAACAGTAGAAGACAGAATCAAGTGGAGAAGTGCAGTTGAAGCCCTATATTCCACTAAGAACCCAAGGGAACAATAATAATAAAAAATACATCTAAATCTCGAATAGGACGAAATGAACCTCATCGGACTCTACCGCTACAATGCACCAGTGAAGAAGTAGCTTAGAATGCAAGAAATTATCTGAGACAAGTCATTTCGATGCAGCTTGTCACTTAAAATAAGTGCGACTGTTTCCATTGGCAGTTTAGAATATTATCCACTGATAGGAAGATCAAAACTAAATGAGCCGCGAATACACCCAAGTCACAGGCTCTGAACACACACCCAATGACTGACTCGTGAGTATAGCTACCACCGCCACCATTGGACGAAATACATTTTAGTGAGACATTTAATAAAACCGAGCAACTAAGTAAGACATCGGGCGAGGAGTCGAACTATTAAATCAAAAGGTTTATAGTATCGAATTCAAACAAACACAGAAAATATTACTAGCGAATAACCACCCACCAAAATTCATTCAGAAATGTAGGAAAAATCAATGAAAACATAAGAGTAGTAGTGAAAATAACAAAAATCAAGAAAATAATATAAAATTCACAGCCTCTGTAGTACTGTCGATTGAAGAAGGAACGTCAAAGGCCTTAAGTAGGAATCTCAATGAGGCTGGAATTCGAATGGCATTTACACCAACCAACTGTTTCAGAGAAACACTCTGTCGGATTAAGGACTCAGTAGATCCAATTAAAAAGAATAATGTAATTTACCAAATACCATATAATGCTGACTGTTAGGTCAGTCAAACTAGTAGATCGGGGGATCAATACAAAATATTGGAATAAAAAAATTTAGTAAGACGGCGACCTATATACCTACTTCACCAGCTGTAAAAATAGAGAATAACTTCAAAGTACCTTACTCGAACTCACGCAACCGTATAAGAGCTAACGGAGGGCTGTCACATGAAGTGATGAAAACCAGTGGTGTCCGTCAGAGATGCCCACTGTCCCTACCCCATTTCTTTTCATTTATACCAAAAATGTACTAAAGGAATTAACCCTAACTAACTTCAGAGACTTAAGAATTGAATTGTTAACAGGGGAAAATCTCGTTGACTTAGATATATGCGGAGGATGACATAGTCCTCCCTACAAAGTGAAGAGACTGATAAAATAGAAATGTGAATAACCGAAAATCCCAACAAACACCACGCGATTCTTTCTCACATAACGACATATGGAATAATCAGTGGGTCAGCATAGAGCTAGTGAGGAATAAGCCTGTCTGGATTCAACATAGAACTTGGAACCGAAGTGCACCAGTTCGAGTTGCCACGTTCCAAATACCACACAGAAGTAGACAAGAAGATGAGTGGAGAGAATCAATACAGTTTGACAAGCATAAGAGTGAAACAGAATGGGTAATGGTAGAAAGGAATATGAAAGATTACAGAGAATGAATACATCTTCGCTGGCCATTGACAACGATTTTGAGCCATGTCACCTATTGTCTCCAGCCATTGCCATTGATTCCTAGAGTCAGTCCCGAGGGCCCCAACCCGGAAGTCTGCATCTCCCAACCTACCTGAAGACTCAGTTTAACTGTCAAGGATTTCATGGATTGATGCCGTCATGTTTTTGTTTGGCCACCACCACCACTCACTCTTTTCCAACCTGCACCTATATCAATCAGCTAGTAATGCCCGTCGGCGGGGGGAGGCGATGGTTAGGCATGCGCACCACGTCACCTAGCCATCTCTATGCCATCTATGTAACTTTATAGCCTCGTCGATTGATTTTCCCTGTTTGCCCAACACTATACGCCTAACGTCAACATTACTTACCTTATCATACCATCACCTAACGTGAGAAAGAGATCGTAGACATCTATGATCAAAAACAGTCAACCTTTATATGTCTTCAACTCGTATTGGCCATGCGAACTGCAGCTGAGCAGTCTGTCTGTCTGGATTCAACATAGAACTTCGCACCGAAGTGCAGCAGTTCGAGTTGCCACATTCCAATTGGCACACAAGGTAGACAAGAAGATGAGTGAAGAGAATCAATAGAGTTTGACAAGCATAAGAGTGAAACAGAATGGGTAATTGTAGAAAGGAATATGAAAGATTACAGAGACTGAATACATCTGAGCCATTGACAACGATTTTGAGCCATGTCACCTACTGCCTCCAGCCATTGATTCCTAGAGTCAGTCCCGAGGGCCCCAACCCGGAAGTCTGCATCTCCCAACCTACCTGAAGACTCAGTTTAACTGTCAAGGATTTCATGGATTGATGCCGTCATGTTTTTGTTTGGCCACCACCACCACTCACTCTTTTCCAACCTGCACCTATATCAATCAGCTAGTAATGCCCGTCGGCGGGGGGAGGCGATGGTTAGGCATGCGCACCACGTCACCTAGCCATCTCTATGCCATCTATGTAACTTTATAGCCTCGTCGATTGATTTTCCCTGTTTGCCCAACACTATACGCCTAACGTCAACATTACTTACCTTATCATACCATCACCTAACGTGAGAAAGAGATCGTAGACATCTATGATCAAAAACAGTCAACCTTTATATGTCTTCAACTCGTATTGGCCATGCGAACTGCAGCTGAGCAGTCTGTCTGTCTGGATTCAACATAGAACTTCGCACCGAAGTGCAGCAGTTCGAGTTGCCACGTTCCAAATACCACACAGAAGTAGACAAGAAGATGAGTGGAGAGAATCAATACAGTTTGACAAGCATAAGAGTGAAACAGAATGGGTAATGGTAGAAAGGAATATGAAAGATTACAGAGAATGAATACATCTGAGCCATTGACAACGATTTTGAGCCATGTCACCTACTGCCTCCAGCCATTGATTCCTAGAGTCAGTCCCGAGGGCCCCAACCCGGAAGTCTGCATCTCCCAACCTACCTGAAGACTCAGTTTAACTGTCAAGGATTTCATGGATTGATGCCGTCATGTTTTTGTTTGGCCACCACCACCACTCACTCTTTTCCAACCTGCACCTATATCAATCAGCTAGTAATGCCCGTCGGCGGGGGGAGGCGATGGTTAGGCATGCGCAGCACGTGACCCAGCCATCTTAGTCTATGTAACTTTATAGCCTCGTCGATTGATTTTCCCTCTTTGCCCAACACTCTACAGCTGAGCAGTACACACGTCCCTCGGTTGATAGCCAGCTGGATGTCACGCCTACGCCAAAGATGGTATAAGTCAGCGAAAGCAGCTCGAGCTTTTCGGACCCGTGCTGAGATTTCGTCGCCAATCAGTCCGTTGGTGCTGTGATACAACTTCTCAAATAGGTGAAGTCGTCAACATGGTCTATCACTTCACTCCCTATCACTAAGCTAGGAGTTGACGTAGTCCAGTCCTGTAGCAGCATCTTACATTTTACAGGGGCGAATCGCATGCCAAACATACGCAGATTGCTGCTCAAGGTGTTCAGAAGACTCTGCATTTTGTCAGCATCCTCCCCTAACAGGACTATGTCATCTCCATAAGGAATAAGTACTAAGACATAGTCCAAGAGAGAAAGAGAGGCAGTACTTTCCATATAATAAAAAACAAACATGAATTCGTTACCTTTCTGTCTTATATCTTGTGCTTTAATGGACTGGTGTTTTCTACCAACTTCTAAATCATCTACTTTCACATTTAACTTGACATCTTCCCTGTCACCACTACTGGAATTCGATTCTTCATTGGAGTATACTGGACGATGTGTGTCATACATTGTGGCCTCTGTGTCTTTATCACTTCGCAATCGTTTTATTTCACGTTCTCTGCGTTCATATCGTTCATGTAGACGACTACGATATTGAACCTCATCAAGTGTTAAATTTGTGCCTCTTGAAGAATGCTTTTGTTTACTGGTGCTTATTTTTTCACGTTTTGAATCATAACGATGATCATAACGACGATCTTCTTCACTGGATGCTTCACCTTCTTCTTTATCAACTTGAACTGTTGACTGTTTATTTGCATAGTCGCGTTTTAATTCGCCTGCTGTTGTAGAATCATTCTCATCATCTGAATAAGCTTCGCCTTCTTCTCGTGGTGAAACAACAACATGACGGATTTTTTCACTTGAATGTTGCATTGACTTAACATGTGACTGTGAAGATTTTGTATCTCCAGTACGTTTCATCACAGTTATTGGTGATTCACTTTCATTCTGAATAACAAATAAATAAAAATAAATAAATTTCAAATATTGGTTTTTAGGGATCAATATATCGTGAGGATATATGGAACGGTTTCTACCTGAAACTTTAACAGCTTAAGGCCAGTGTTAGTTACAAACGAACACTGGTGAAAACCCCTTTTTTTGTCGGAGCGAAAAGAATATGCTCAACTGACAAATTAGACAGTGAACTAAAGCTGCTTGAGAAATGCTTTAAAGAAAATACTTACCCACAAAGTTGCATTGACGATTACAGCGAGAATGAACGTAAGAAACCTGTTGCAGCTAAGGTCAGCAAGAAGCCAATTTTCATTAAACTCAACTTCAAAGACAATGATACTATGAGGGTCATAAGTGAAAGAATAAGCGAAGCCCCGTCCAGGACGTATATCCTGCAGCAAAACTAGTCTCTCTGCTCCGAACATCTTCCTCGGTGCAGTCAAAGAATGACAAGTACTCCTCATATGTCACCTCCAGCCAAAAGTACTAATTCACATGTATCTGCAAGAGCAGTTACATTGGAAGAACAGAAAAAAGGGCCTACGTCAGATTCCTTAAATATGTGTACTAAGGAGCTTCCGGTTAAAGAAGCCAAACAGTTTAAGCTCTTCAATTACCAAACACCTGATAGACACTAGACACCACCGAGTAGACAGGCTGGCATCATGCAAAATAATTAACAGACAAAACAGCTCAAGTTATCTTCTGTTTGCTAAGGCTGAAATCTGACCTACGTGTCCAAAAGGAAACTGTCGTTGAACTTCAATTACCCTGATGACTCACTCCTTAATAATCCTTTGTTTTTTTTAATTTAACTAAACTCATCTCTTGATCTTCTCTTGTCTTTATTACCACCTTAATAACAAATTTATCCGTAAATTTTTCGAGAAACTTCTTGCTAACAAGATATATGTATACACTGTACTCCTTCAGCTAACTTGTCACCCTAATGTTTTGTCTCACTATGACGCTCCTATGATATGCTTTTTGATAGACAAAAGTGTGCTGAAAATATTACACTGACTTATTTTATTGAAGATTATAGGTTGTATGCAGCTGATGGGAACCAATGAAGAAGTAAAATAGATCTACGTTATTCTACACCAATGTTTGATAATTCTCTGCTTAAATTAATAAAAGCGATCTGATTAATTTTTTGGCGTTAGATTTGACTGCAAACCGATATCCGTGAGAGAACCGTTGAGAGCTAAAAAGGAGTACTGGGCAGAGATGTTTCCTCCCAGCTGGAAACTATTCAGAACTACGCACCAATGGTCTCTCATCGAATGCATACTTCTGAAGAGACCCAGACTACAAAGATTCACTTCTCCAGTAGGCCTTAGCTTTCAATGGTTCTCTAACTGATGTTGGTTTATGGTGAAATCAAACAAGTAATTATTGGTTGAGACAACTTTCGATCGATAGACCAATACACTTGTTTAATGGTTAAAGGTAGAATGAAACAATTAGAAAGTTGAGTCTTCTTGCTTAGCCAGTAAGAAATCGGATAAGTAGTCTGGAGATCTTCAGCTCAAATTCTCCAGTAATAAATACTTTGTTTACAGGATCCCAATATAAGATGACATTCGTTAAGGAACTATTGGGAAACCAACTGGGAGTACTGGACAGCTAACTGTTTCATCCTAGTGTAGGACACTCCAGCAGTACGCACCCACTACAGAGGTTAGAACCCAGAACCTTCCAATTGCTACAACGCCAGCCCGTCTAATTCGTATAAGTTAGTTAAAGTATCTGTTTACCAAGATCACAACAAGTCACAGTATTATCCGAAATGCAGAGTCTTCTAAACACCTTGAGCTGCAATCTACGAATGTTTGGTATGAGATTCGCTCCCGCCAAATGCAAGATGATCTTACAGGACTGGACTACATCGACGCCTAGTTTAAAAATAGGAAGTGAAGTGGTAGAGCACGTTGACCGCTTCACTTATTTGGGAAGTACCATCAGCCCCAACGGGTCGATCTCTGACAAAATCTCAGCACGAATACAAGGGGCTCGTTTCGCATTTGCCAGTTTACGCCGACTCTGGCGTAGACGAGATGTTCGACTATCGACCAAAGGGCGGGTGTACTGCTCATCAGTCCGCTCCGTCCTCCTTTACGGCCAGCTGTGAGACCTGGCCACTGAGAGTGGAAGACATGAAAAGACTAGCTGTCTTTGATCATAGGTGCCTGCGCTCTATTTCCCGTGTAAAGTGGCATAATAAGGTGAGCAACATGGAGGTTAGGCGTAGAGTTCTAGGTGAACAGGGGAAATCAATCGACGAAGTCGTGAAGCTACAAAGACTGAGATGGTTAGGACATGTGTTACGTATGCCAAGCCATCGCCTCCCTCGACGAGCAATGTTAGCGGATATAGGGTCAGGCTGGAAAAAAGCTAGCGGCGGTCAAACAAAAACTTGGCACCAGTCAATGAAATCCACAACAGTTGGTCTAAGCCACGTAGGAAGGTGTAGACTTCCAGGCTGGGGTCCTCGGGACGGTAAAAACCAATGGTTGGAAACAATTGGTGACATGGCTCAAAATCGTTCTCAGTGTGGCAGATGCATCCACTCCTTTTGACCTGTGATTTCCAATGAAACTACATTGTTCTTCGTTAATACTCTTTCTTTGTCTCACCTCTGCTCACTGTCTCTATTATGCTTTTCTTGTACTTTCTTCTCTTGCTTCGCGTGCTACACGGAGTGTGGCGACTTGAACTTCCGCACATTTGTGCAAAGTTCTATGTCGAAAACAGAAAGACAGACAGACACAGTATTATCCACATTTACCCAAAAGAACCTTCAACCATGTATTTTGATGGCATGGGAATCCTTACACTAACTGGTGTCACAGATATCTCAGCTGAAATCCAACATATTCTACATAACCACTATGAACAATTATTACGTAATTGCCAGTATTTTTTTTCCTTCACGTTCCCAGTGGAACATATGGCCTCAAGCTAGTGGCTTGAAGTTTCTGTAGCAGTGGTGTTAAGTTTTACGGGATGGGGTTGCTAGCCTCATGCTGACCCAATCTTTCCTCTTTACCAGCATCATTTCTGGCTTAGCGAGGTAAAGGAGTTTGTCGGCGGGGGATCGAACCCCAGACCATGTGCTTGGTCGGCGAGCGTCCTAACCACTGTGCTACCGACGCATATGCTAGCACTGTATCGAAAACCAACAAACTGGCTGAAGGAGTAGTAAAAATACGACTTCAATTAAACATGGAGAAGGCGGAGGTGATGCAGGTAACCAGCCAATAACAACAGCCAAAAAGCACCAATCACTATCAATAAAATAAATTTGAAAGAGGTCACTTCTTACACTTATCTAGCAAGTATTATTTCAACTATGAACAGGCGGAATCGATGAGGATGTCAAAACCAGTTAGGATCGAAAAAGTAAGACAAAACTTTAATCTGAAATCAGTCTGGAAATCTTCTGAACTTTCTCAGCATAAAGAACGAAATTCGGATTTTTAAGATAAATGTGAAGTCAGTCAGTTCTCCTATACAGGTCAGAAACTTGGCGAAAAATTCATGAAAAGCATTTCCAACATCCTGCCACCTTCGCTAACTCCATGTGTACTGAAGATCAGATAGCTAGAAAGAACTAGCAACAAGAAACTCTAGGAACGAATCAATCAACAACTTATCATTCAGAAAATATGTACGCCAGACTAGTCCTCGAGTGGAACCCGAATTGGAAAAGACGAGTACGGTATCCGACGGTGAAATTGTGCGAGATTATGCGAGAGGGAGATCAAGGATTATGAGCCATTTTGGGCCAGCTAAGGAGAACGATAGAAAATAGGACAAAGTGGAAACGTGCTGCTGAAGCTGTATGTTTCACTCGGAACTCAAGAGAACAATAATAATAGTACTGTCGTGGAATATTCTATCATCATTCTACTGGCATTTTTTTTCTCCCTTAACTTTGATTTTTGTTGGCAAAAATCATCTACAGTGGTCATCTACAGTGGTAGTTCATGAACAAGCTATAACTTATTAGTATGAAGTAGTTACATTTTAGCATTTTCAAGAACCCATGTCAAAACAAGTCGGTACTGTCGAAAGTATTAATATCATGTAAATCAAATTATTACTGGAAGGGCAAAAGTAAGGATGTTCAGCGAAGAGTTACTCTTTTCACCAATAACATCCTCAGGCTTTATAATGGCGCATATATATATATATATATATATATATATATATATATATATATATATATACAGTACTGTTCTGTCTGTCTGTCTGGATTCAACATAGAACTTGGCACCGAAATGCACCAGTTCGAGTTGCCACTTTCCAAATAGCACACAGAGGTAGACAAGAAGATGAGTGAAGAGAATCAATAGAGTTTGACAAGTATAATAGTGAAACAGAATGGGTAATGGTAGAAAGGAATATAAAAGATTACAGAGACTGAATACTATATCTGAGCTGGCCATTGACAACGATTTTGAGCCATGTCACCTATTGTCTCCAGCCATTGCCATTGATTCCTAGAGTCAGTCCCGAGGGCCCCAACCCGGAAGTCTGCATCTCCCAACCTACCTGAAGACTCAGTTTAACTGTCAAGGATTTCATAGATTAATGCCGTCATGTTTTTGTTTGGCTACCACCACCACTTACTCTTTTCCAACCTGCACCTATATCAATCAGCTAGTAATGCCCGTCGGCGGTGGGAGGTGATGGCTAGGCATGCGCACCACGTCACCTAGCCATCTCTATGCCATCTATGTAACTTTATAGCCTCGTCGATTGATTTTCCCTCTTTGCCCAACACTATACGCCTAACGTCAATATTACTTACCTTATCATACCATCACCTAACGTGAGAAAGAGATCGCAGACATCTATAATTGAAAACAGACAGCATTTTCATGTCTTCAACTCGTATTGGCCATGTTTCAGAGCCATAGAGAAGGACGGAGCGAATTGCAGCTGAGCAGTACACACATCCCTTGGTTGATAGCCAACCGGATGTCACGCCTACGCCAGAGATGGTGTAAGTCAGCGAAAGCAGCTCGAGCTTTTCGGATCCGTGGTGAGATTTCGTCGCCGATCAGTCCGTTGGTGCTAATACAACTTCCCAAATAGGTGAATTGGTCAACATGTCCTATCACTTCACTCCTTATCACTAAGCTAGGAGTTGACGTAGTCCAGTCCTGTAGCAGCCAGCATCTTACATTTTACAGGGCGAATCGCATGCGAAACATACGCAGATTGCTGCTCAAGGTGTTCAGAAGACTCTGCATTTTGTCAGCATCCTCCCCTAACAGGACTATGTCATCTGCATATTCTAAGTCCATAAGACTATTCCCTGGTAACAAGTCGATTCCTAAGTCGTTACGTTCAGTTAAGGATACTTCCATCAGCATGTCTATGATGAAGTTAAACAGAAATGGGGAAAGTGGAACATTACTGTTCCCTTGGGTTCGGAGTGGAACATAGGGCTTCAACAGCACACCTCCACTTTGTCCTACTCTCTGTTGTCCTCTTTAGCTGCCCTAACGATTGCCCATATTCTCCGATCTCCTCATCGAATAATCAATCTCCTCCATGTCACCCTCGGACTCATGCTCATTTCGTTTCCCAGTTGGGTTCCCTTAGAGTGGTGGCCTCGTGCGCGATATCAGTTGACGGTCTTCTTAGCGTTTGTTCAATCTACCTCCATTTTCCCTCATAAACTTATTGAGCACTAGGTTTTTGGTTGGTTTGTTTCCAAAGTTTCCTGTTGCTAATTCATTCTGATTATCTGATCTTCAATATGGTGCGAAGACAGCTGTTCACATAAGTATTTTTTTATTTTGATCATAGCTTGAATCCACATAATATTTTGATACAAGTATAGAATTTCCAGCATGTGATATCGGTAGACGAAATTTAGCAGGCCGACCATTGATATCAGGTGTGCATCGGCTGGGGATCGAACCCCGGACCATGTGCATGGTCGGCAAGCATCCTAACCGCTGTGCCACCGACGCACATATATAAAAATACAGTAGATTTTCTTAGCAACAAAAGGAATGTTTCGAAAGATGTGTGTCATTAGAAGTGTAGCTTTTTAAGTGACAAATTACGTAATGTAAAAAGCGTTAATCAGGTAGAAAGTATAATAAAGTTGGCTGACAATATAATTGACGAGATTGAGTAGAGTTCAATTCAAAATTGATGAAAGAGAGTCAAGTTAACGACCGTAGTAATAGGAGGTAGAGATTTAATAAGGGGTTATGGCGAAAGATAATACAATACAATACAATATTACCGGAAAGACTGTGAAAAAACTATTCTAATAACTGACTTATAAGTATAGTCATTCAGAATATTTTTTTATAGTGTTAGGATACTTCAAGAAAGAAATCGAACTTACATAATCTAATTCATCGTCCATTTCTACCAAAAATTCCATTTATCATCTGAAAAATAATGTAAAACGTTTAGGCGCCACACACACACCACACAATCTCACAAAATTACACGATTTACATACTCCTGTTTATTAAAAAAGATTTTGAGAACTATTTTAGTGATGATGACCATCTCCTATGCAGCATAACAAACACTAAACACCTCCTAGTAACCAAGGTAGTTTATTCTAAAATGGTTTATCTTAAAATTACAAGGATATCGCCATAAAACCAGCTGACTGAGTGACTGACTGCTGCACATCTGTGCAGCAGTCCAAATTACCACTCTCCCTCTCTGTACCACAAAAAGCAACAGAAGAGAGTAATGACATAACAAACAGAAGTGTGAGTGACGGAAAAAGAGTAATAGTGGTAATATGGAAGAACAATAGTTTATTTTATTTATTTAAATGCATAAAAACTTGGTACAATATGGCACCAAGAAGGATGCGCCATACAATAATAATAAGACAACATACATCAAAAGAAAAAAAGAAGGAAAAGAAAAAAATATAAGTAGAGAACGGATAAAGAACTTCATCTGGTAGAAAAACAGTCATGCTTAACAAGTTCAAACAGTATTCGTTAACAATCATCGGGAAGGGAAGAAAGAAGGAAATTGCAACACGTTCGCCACTGATTACGATTCTTGGCCATATCCGATAAAGTTTCGAGCCATCGATTCGAGCTATCTCTCGGACCCCAACCACGGAGTCGTGACACACCAACCGATGCTAATATGGCACAAACATCCTTCATCCCAAGACGCCACGTCATGGACTGACCACCTCTCCGCCTTTCCCATCCCGTCCCAGTGCTGGCTAGCGAACAGAGACCTGTACAGAAGCCTCTGGGATGACATTCGCAGCATATGTCCAAGCCACCGGAGCCGGTGTTTCCAGATGACGACACTCAGTGAATGATCTCCACTGTGTTCAAACACACGCCGCCGAACCTCAGAATTACTCACGCTATGATGCCGTCGAACGCAAACAATCCTGCGGAGACAGCAGTGATCGAACACGCAGAGTCGCCGCACATCCTCAGCCCACTCCGAGAGTCCAGGTTTCACAGGCGTAGAGCAGCGCAGCCCGCACCGAAGCATTGTATACCCGACCTTTGACAGTCAGGCTAACGTGGTAACGTCGCCAGAGGTGGTTCAAGTTGATGCAAGAACAATAGAGTTTTACTGGATATAGTATATCATCACAAAGAGTGAATGCATCTGCGCCACCATTGAGAACGACGACTTTGAGCCATATCACCAATTGTCTCCAGCCTTCGGTGGTTCTTACCATTCTGAGGACCTTAACCAGCTAAGCAGTCTACCCTTCCCTACGTGACTGGCTGGTTTAGGCTAACTGTTATGTATTTCATTGGCTAATGCCATGTTTACGCAAACAATTGAATATCATCTTCAAAATATTTACAGATAAAACAAATCATTACCTACGACTCCCTTAACTTCAATAACAGATATGAACTAAATGACAATGTTTAACCTTTGAAATGACTTAAGAATTAACGTGGAAATTCATTCGTTACACTTTGACAAAGCAAACAATCAGCAAACAGAAATACAAAGATACTCCCATAAAGAAATATGTTCATGAAAGGGAAGAGGACAACTAGATGAAAACTAAGTAAGCTTTCAAGAAACTGGAAAATAACGCTTTTCAGCAACATCAATAGGAGTCCCCAGCAACTAATCCCTAGTGCATTTCCGGGACATTGGCTTAAGTAGGATTAATGTCTGTCTACCTTTTAGGCTGAAGTTGTTGAAAGACAGGCAAATGTAGTACAGCCATAGGTCATCAGAACTTCACGAAGTAGTCGGTCAGACATTTCAGCCGTTATCACAATCCTATCCTACTCATACGTCAATTTGCTAGTCGTCTGGAGAAAACACTCGACTCTCACTAAAACTTTCTCTTCGGTGTACGACTTTACCCTATAACCCCATCATAATGTAAGTAGCCTGTACTATGATGAAAACTTTTAGTTTTAAATGAATCCAAGTGACCTTTCAAGCGTGACTAAAACTGAAGAAACGATCATTTCAGCCAGCATAGTCCACGGGTAACCAAGTGAAAGTAGAAGCTATCAGTTTTCTTTATTTATTTGGAATAAACTTGGCACAATATGGGTACCAAGACGTACAACGCCACACAGAAAAAATAGAAGTAAAACAGGATTAGAATAACTGAGTGGCGGCACCATTAAGAAAGGAGGCATAATTATCAAAAACATTCAAAAGACAGTTAATTACTCCACGTTATTTACAAAAAGATGAAAACGTAGGAGACTGTAGCATGTTAGTCACTGACTTCGATTCCAAATCACTTCTCATAACGCCATGGACTACTGATTTTGATGACCAATTACAGTCCACCGTGGGAGTCTTGACGCACCAGCATCAACTAACCCAGCAAAACTATCCTCCCACTGACGGCGTAACGTCATGGCATGACTGCCCCGCACCCGTCTTCTCCACCTAGTTCCAGGGCAAGAAAACGGTTAACAGTATGAAATCCACTGAGACGAAATTTGTTGTACATGTCCAAAACATCAAAGCGAGTATACCAAGATGACAATATTTAATGGGAAAGGATTTACATCATATTCAAACAGACGCAGTTGAACCACAAAAGTACCTAAACAATGATGCCACTGGATACAGTAACGGACGGAGAAGTAGAGTCGCTACACATCCTCAGCTCGGACGGGTCCGTTTCCACAGACACAGCAAAACCTCATGCTTCTCCGTAAAATTAGCCCTTGACGACCGGATTAACGTTATGACAGCATAGAAAGTAAACCAAGTTGGCGTACGCCACAAATAGTAATCTTACTCGCCACACCCTCAGCATACTACCTAGATACACAAACCTACCAACTTCCTTTAACGGTTCACCTGGTAGGGTGAGTGCAAGTACAGGTTTCAATCAAGCCAACGACTTGTCATAATACTAGCACTATCTACTGTCACATTTAGGCTGCCATAATACAAATTAGCCGTAACGCTGCTATATGCCAGCTGCTTGTATGCACATCATTATTTTAGTATGCTCATTATTCAATATTGAAATAACCCTATAAACGCATCAGTTCAATTTACCATTCCAAATCACTATATCAAAGACCAAACAAATATCTATTTTTGCTCATTTACATGCCTCTTTTGGTACTCACTGCATGCTACTATTCATAACGTACTTCCGGCTAAACTTCAACAGCCTCAGCTCCTTATAACAACATATATTCGTTACCAACTTCTAGTATCACGTGCGTTTTTTTTCCGCTTTTATCAATGAAGACTCGAGGAGATACCGAAAATGGGGCGACAGTCGAAGAGTTTATGAAGCTGCCTTGATTATGACGGCTAGGGCACATGTCGAGTATCCTAAGTCGCTACCCTCATTAACCAGCAATGTTAGCTAACTTCGGATTACTCTGGGAAAGAGTTAAGGATAGTCAAACCAAGACCTAGCATCATTCAATGAAGTCTTTAATTGTCAGTTTAGGAGGTGTAGACTGACTGGTTGGGGTCATCAGGATGCTAAACCGCAATGGCTGGAGACTATTGCTGATGGGGATCAAAGTCATTCTTAACGACGCAGTTTTACTCACTCTTCGTGATCTCCTGGACCCATCAAGCCCTCATTTTTTGCCATGCTACTATTCTGCCTCTTGCACAATTCTGCCTATTATAGTTCTTCTAAATTCTTTTCTCTTTGTGTGTTACATGGAGTGTGGTAAATTAGACTGCTGTTCTTTTGTGCAAATTTCTACGCTGGAACTCAGTTAGTCAGATTCCTTAAAAATGACCCTAGTTACAAGCAGGAACGAATCCATGCCATTATTCTTCCTTCTTGCAATAAGTTCCAATAAGAGGATAAACAGCATAAACCTAAGCTCAAAAAGCAGATATACATTAAGCCATAGTTGAAGCTAAATCAATTACACAGTCATGTAGTATCTTTATTTTCAAGCCATCGTGAACAGCAAGCACCTTCACGTCCAGTTCCGGCACGACTAAAACTCCTCTGAACAACTTAAATACCCTACTCTGAGATTACAGTAGTAGTATTAATGAGTCAAAAATTGTAAGTCAGTTGGGTTTTCAAGATCTTCGTGTTAAAACAATGACATCTCCAATCAAAATTCAAGCCCAAAAAATAAATATAATACAAGACTCACTGCAATATCATATCTAACTGAGTGCACTCTTGATCAGTTTAGAATGGCATTTAAAATAAGGAAAGCTGAATGTTATCCAGAAAGTAGCACTATGCATTACGACAGAAGCAATTGATAAGTATATTAAACTGAAGCCAGTCAGCTAACTAAACGAATGACAGACAGATGGCATGAATATTTCAAAACGCTATCAACCTACCAAAATCTCTACATACGAAAACTGAGCGACCACAGTAACTAACAGCTTGAATTCTTTCGCTAGTAACCTTTTTACCCCTTGTCACCCACCAACCAGTTCATGCAGCTTTACGCAGAGTCAGAACTAATATTTTTTTCAACGTTTGGCAGTACAGAAAGCTCTTCAGGTTAAATACACGTACAGATTAAGAACAAGAAATGAATAACTGAAATCTCTAAGTTCGTGAGGAAACAAAAATTAGTTTTACTGTAACTAAAAAATATTAATATGAGAGAAATTAACAGGAATTTTTAAGATTGGCAGTGATTTCAAGATGGTAAAGTACATCCGAAGTAATACTTTTCAAGATGGTCATAAATCCAACTAGCATTTAACTACGAGTTACAATTAAGAATTATGAGATGAGGCGAATTTTAGAATTACTAGTTTTACTACTTGTTAGCAAAACAATACAAAGCCCCAACTTCTGAAACACTAACTAAACCAACCTGGCAACCGAGACAACACGTTGCGACGCAACTTTAAATCTCCCTCAATAAAATACTAGAATGAAACCTTTCTTCTTTTCGCTTCCTCAGACGACAGATCCCGTGGTGATATTATGAGTGTGAAAGTGCTATTTCATTAACAGAGATAAAAATACAATGTTCGATGAACTCGAATGGGCTCCAAATGCCATGGTTATGCCATACCGGGAGAACTTTGGAAAGGGAGTGAATTTTACACGATCTTGTTTAAGTTCGGTTTTTGTTGTGTTGTACGCTTCAAAAGTCTATAGATTAAATTCATATCAGTTCATTCTGATCGAAGTTAGTTTACGCTTCAGTTTTGAGTCTATTTAACTATAGGGAGTTGCGTTTTTATAACTTTATAGTTATATATATCCATTTTTGTGCACATTGCTTTTTATCACGAATTTATAAGGGTCATATATAAGATCATATTTGAATCTTTTCGTCCCAATCCACTCTGAAAAGCATGCCTATTAAAAAATGAACCGCTGTAGAAGAACGATTGCAGTGTGATAACTGCAATAGATAG